TCCAGAGCCCTTCAGACAGACACACAAACGCCCTGACAGGGGGAAAGACCACGGCCCGGATTCACAGAATGGTTCTTAAGAAAATAATTTCTTCTTAAATGTGCCTTTTTTTTTCTTAACTATATACTTTTGTTGTTATTCTTAAAAAAAACGTCTTGAGAATTTCCATTTCTTTCTTAACTCTTCGCTTAAATATTAAAAGGACAAGTGGTATTCTTGAAAAAAATTGTTTACTAAAATATTTTCTTACATTACGACTGTTTCATACTTTTCAACAGTGACTCCTACAGAGTTTCACTCATATGATCATATGATTATTAATTACATATATTATATTATATTATATTATATTATATTATTAACTAAAAAATCTGGTAATTTGTAAAATGTAACATGATATTGATCTACATGACAACTTGTTATATAACAGGACTTCTTTAGTGAAGAGGGTTCTATATAGCACCGAAAAGGGTTCTGCTACTGTTACAATGTCGAGCTTGTAACAATAGACGAGAGCTTTTTCAAAAGGTTTCTCTATAGAACCATCTACAGCACGTTCTCCATCAATCTGAAGAAACGTTTCATGATGCAAAGAACCCTTTAATCATGCCAAGGGTTCTTTCAGTGTTTATGGTTCTTTATAGAACCATTTTCTGTACTAAAGAACCCTTGAAGAACCACCTTTTTTAGGTGTGTACATCAACAGTTCAGTTAACTACAAAATCCTGGACTGAAAACTGGATTCAAGGTGCAGATATGATCCTAACAGGTTAACAGGTGCTCTAGGACTGATTCCAGATGCATTTGATGGCGTCCTAATGCGATCTAAAGGTGTCCTACTGGAACGGGTAATTACAGGTGCTAATGGTAGCCTCTAATGGAGTTTCTACAATCAACAATTTCACATCAAACCGCTTCGAATGACTTTATTTACATCTCAGTGATGGAAATTTAGAAGAGTCAGTGGATTTCACATGTAAAGTCAGATAGAAGGTTTCTAGTCCACACAAATCTGTACATTAAGTCATACATTCATTACATAGGACTGAACAGCAGACGTGCTGCGTGCACCCTGTAATCTGTTCAGTGAGAGCAAAACAGCTCAGCCCAGGTTACAAATACACCTTTTAAAGCCCAGAACTTCCCAGAGGAGAGAGATGTTCTAAATGAGATCTCCTCTTGATCTCAGGTTCTTCTCCTAGACACAGTTAAGTCCAGTTTGAGATCAGAGTGAGACTTTAGCCATTCTCTCCGGGTCCTGAGAAATAAAACTCAGATTTTCTCACTTTGATCAAAATGTTATCACACATGTGGATTAACTCTTTAGTGTCTGACTCGTCTCACCACAGTCTCAGCTGAATAATATCTCCATAAGAAAAGTGTGAGATCTCATCGTTTTCTCATACAGCTCTAGTTCTATATTACAGAGCTCTCTCAGCACTCAGTCAGTGCAGAAGGAGAACTCACGCTTTTCTCCTTCATCACCAGAACTTCTCACAGTGAAATGCTGATGTTAATCTCCTCTTTTCTCCTAAGGGGGTTCAGGAGAAACAATTCAGAAATCAGTGATACTTCATTAATATGATATTGAGATCTGCTTTATTTCTCTGAGACAATCTTAAGAAAGAATTTCTTTCCTCTGGGTTCAGATGTTTAAGTGGAAGCTGTCTGAGTCAGGGGGACTGCATTACACTCCACAGTCCACTAGAGGGAGACATTTGAATGCGGCTCTGATGAGTTCAGTTTGTTCTCTATCTGTAAATGTTGCTCTACACCAGATTAAAAATTGTGAATTCACTTTCCAGCCCCATGTTCAGCTTGACTTTACGCTGAGCTACGCTTCATATAGCGGTTCTGCTGATTCAGTAAAAGAAAAATGTAGTAAAGAGCACAACTTTCTAAATTACATGATCTTAATATTACACTGTGGAGCCCCTAAGGTGACCGTGTGATTACTCTTCAATAAGGCCTGGCTGCAAATTAATATATTGAGGCCACAAATTAATATATTGAAGGCACAAATTGATATATTGAGGCCACAAATTAATATATTGAAGTCACAAATTAATATATTGAGGCCATAAATTAATATATCAAAAGCCACAAATGAATATACTGAGGCCACAAATTATTATACGAAAGTCACAAATTAATATGTTGAGGCCACAAATTAATATACTGAAGTCACTCATTAATATATTGAGGCCAAAAACTATTATACTGAAGTCACTCATTAATATATTGAGGCCAAAAACTATTATACTGAAGTCACAAATTAATATGTTGAGGCCACAAATTAATATACTGAAGTCACTAATTAATTTATTGAAGCCACTTGGCCTTAATATATTAACTTGTGGATTCTATATATCAATTTGTGGCCACACCTCATTAAAACAATCACCACATCACTGTAGGGGCTCAAAAAACATTAGGTGTAGTTGCCATCAGTGAAGACTAGAAGTAGGAAACCTGTGTTATGGCTCCATCTGCTGGAACCTCTGCTCCCCTTATCCTGATATAATTAAGGCTGTGTGTTTAAATTCAATACCGCTATTGAATTTCACTACCTAAGTAGTCAGTCTTAGCATCAGTGATCTAGGAAGCATGCTTGCTCCAAAATCTAGATGCTGATTGGCTGTCTAAGTTACATTCTGTAAGCATGTTAATGTCAGCCCTTTTTGATGAGTCTGTAATGAGCAAGTAAACACCATCACTCATTTAGGGTTTAAGCCACACCCACTTTTGGCTTGGAATTCAAAAGAAGTTCAGGAATCAGTATTGAAATGAAGGTATTGGTATTGATATCAATATCAGAACAATTGTAACACCCAGCCATAACACCGAAAATGTTTTATCTGGAGTTTTTTTAATTAATATCACTGAGAAATCTGCTCACTAGTTTCCTTCATACAAATTATACAGATTTATTGTATTTATGTACATATATATCACAAATATAAAACCATGCATGCAGTTCCACAAGAATAGTTTAGTCGCACAAGCTGCACATTTGGGAAAGAGAATAAAAGAGGAGAGAAAGAGCAGGAAAATTAGAGCACATGCTGTATACTAATTCAATTAATTCCAAGATCTCGTTCCATTCTGCAGCTGAGAGCTGGAGTCATTAAAGCACAGCAGGTCCCATTACAGCAACAGCATTTACCCTTCAGAGCCAACAATGACCACTGCTATGCTAACAGCTTTGGGACGCTGGTAGAATATATATATACACACAAATATTCACCAAACTGATCATTCTCTATAAGCCTTCTAACACCGATTTCCGATATCATCGCTGTCAAAAAAAAAGCCTCAGATCTCTGAAATGTCTTCACAGGAGAAAAACAAACCAAACCAAATCCATTCTTAAAGCTGAATTCCAATGATCTTTATCAAAAAATACTGGATATTTAAATGGTCAAGATGTAAACAGTCATTCAGAGTGGTTTGGTGTGAAATGCTCCGTTCTGGAGAAGCTTACCGAGCCAGACTTGTTCACAGTGGTGGTGATGGGAACCAGACGTCTGAAGAGTTTAATGGCTCAAAAAAGGTACCTCATGTTATACTGAACAGTTGGACTGCAAAATGGCTTTATTCACATTATGGACATGGTGACCCCTGGTTCCCATCACCACCACTTTAAAGAAATCTGTGTCTGTTACAGTGAGCCATTTCATATCAAACCACTCTGACTTTGTTTACTCAACCCCTGAATTATATATAGGTATTTTGAAAAATTGGTGGAATTCCCCTTCAACATTAATGTACGTTATCTAAAGAGAATTTCAAGTAATTTTGGACCGTTTTTATGCGTCCAAATGTAAAAGGCAGCTGCTTTCAAATGAAAAAGAGAACAAAACCGGAATGAATGGCTTTGAAAGGGACGGTGTGCATAATGAAACATCAGTGCACTGTTTCTACAAACGTATGAGCACCTTTCAGTGAGTCAGAGAGACCAAATAAAGGCCCTCGATGAGGACAACTGGTCACAAGACAGACTTAATGAGAGCCATGAGACAGGCTGGCTAAGTGGATAGGGACCAGCTCTCAAGTGATCCTTAATGCTTACATTACCGAAGCTTTAACGTCATTTAAACAGCACTAAACTGAAACATGGAGACCATTTAAGAGACGATCTCCCACAGTACAAAACACCAAGAGACACGTACGACTTCACAGTGACATCTTTACACAAAGACCGAGCAGAACTGTGTCCCCCTTCTGAAAAGCCCAAAATACACAGACCTCACCTTCTCCAGCTCACATCATTATGCTCAAATATTTACGGAAGCTTATTCCCACCAGGAAGAGGAGGAAAAGTCACCTACTGATTTTTTTCTCTGCATACTTTGTTAGCCCCCTTTTACCCTGTTCTTCAGTGCTCAGGACCCCCATGGCCCCTAACAGAGCAGGTACTATTTGGGTGGTGGATCATTCTCAGCACTGCAGTAACACTGACGTGGTGGTGGTGCGTTAGTGTGTGTTGTGCTGGTACGAGTGGATCAGACACAGCAGTGCTGCTGGAGTTTTTAAACACTGTGTCCACTCACTGTCCACTCTATTAGACACTCCTACCTTGTCAGTCCACCTTGTAGATGTAAAGTCAGAGACGATAGCTCATCTGCTGCTGCACAGTTTGTGTTGGTCATCCTCTAGTCCTTCATCAGTGGTCACAGGACGCTGCCCACAGGACACTGTTGGCTGGATATTTTTGGTTGGTGGACTATTCTCAGTCCAGCAGTGACACTGAGGTGTTTAAAAACTCCAGCAGCACTGCTGTGTCTGATCCACTCAGACCAGCACAACACACACTAACACACCACCACCACGTCAGTGTTACTGCAGTGCTGAGAATGATCCACCACCCAAATAGTACCTGCTCTGTTAGGGTCCATGGGGGTCCTGAGCACTGAAGAACAGGGTAAAAGGGGGCTAACAAAGTATCAGAGAAACAGATGGACTACAGTCTGTAACTGTAGAACTACAAAGTGCACCTATATAGTAAGTGGAGCTGATAAAATGGACAATGAGTGTAGAAACTAGGTCATAATGTTATGCCTGGTCAGTGTGTGTGTGTGAAAGGTGACACTGTTGGGATAGACTGGATGTAGTTTTTTATCACGGTGCTAAGTTTGTCATTGTTTCAAGAGAGATTTCTTTCCCAATGTTCTGTAAAGTGGCAACAGTTCCAAAAGAAGGCATTTGTGGGCGGAGCATAGACAGATCAATTAACAAGCCGAACGAACCGGTCTGAATGGGGGGAGAATAGTTCTGGAGACCACCGACGTGAACACTCGGGTACAACACCCACTCGACAGATTAGTTAGGAAGCTGAGTAAGTAAACATCTGAAACTGTGCTTAACAAAAGAGTGTACACTTGAGGGCTCTAGATGATTGTAGTCAAGTCAAACTACAAGAATGTATGTAACAAAGAGGCTCTTCAGCACTCAGGCTCGTAATAAACAGGCGGAGGAGTTCCCGTCACTGTGGTCCTCGAAAACATCCTGAGACGAAATGGAAACATCAACCAATCGCAAGTGGGTGAGGGACAGTTTTACAACAAATTGAGGGAAGAATAAGTGGAGCCTGCAGACAACCTTCCTGACGTGACCTCCTCTTTCTTCTCCCTTCACCACTTGCAGATGATCTGAATGATATAGCTGGACTTGGGCTTCACTTTAAGAATTAACAGACCTCAAAAATAGCCTCACGTTTACTGTCCTCTTCAAAAAGCATGGACCACTGGACAGATGATCACAAAGAAAGGCATTTGGTTCAAATGTCTTAATCAAAACCATGTTTAAATATAGAAAATGAACGTGACTGTTTATGCCGACTCAACTGTGCACCGCTGCTATGACGACTCATCACGACCGGCCTGTGCAGTGTTGTTATTGGGCAGCAGTGGCGGCTGAGACGGGATGACGATCTTGTACGGCACTGACTCTTTGGCCAGCATCTTCCTGGTGGCGCTGACCAGGCGGGAGTAGTTGTCGGGGTTGTACTCGGAGGCCGGTTGGCGGGTGCGCAGCAGGGGCAGGCTGTCCCTCTCCCCGCGGGACAGGAAGAGGGGCGGGCGGCGCAGGTTCTCCCCGTCCTTCAGGGAGTCGGGCAGGGCTTTGCGCTTGCTCTCGGGCAGCAGCATGATGCAGAGCACCGAGAGCACCGCGAAGGAGGCGAACACGACGTGGTGCAGGAAGTAGCCGCCGTTATTCTGCAGCTCCATCACAGAGGAGGCCGCCATGCCCACAGAGCCGGCAGCCATGACCAGACCCAGAGCTCCACCACTGAGAGACGGTCAGAGAGACAAACAGTCATAATTACGGCAGCTTGGAATGTTCAGATTAAGATTTGATTTAATAATGATTTGCTATTTGATTAATTCAGGACACTATAGGCTTTCTCTGTATCTGCTCCATCAAATGACTTTTATTCAAACAATCAACTGTTTGAACTTTTATACCTTCTGCAGTTTCAGAAGTTCTACCAGCGCCACTGTTAGGGGTCGGCAATACGGCAAAAACAGAATATCAAGATACTGGGAGACATTTTCACAATTGCCTGATACACAATATTTAGATTTCTGAGAATTCCCAAGTTAAAACCAACACAATGCACCTTAAATCTTGTCAGTATATCTAGATATATCACATTATGAGATGGCCGCAGGAATCTTATAAGGTTATTTAATCTATACATTCCATAGATTTTTACTAGTTTTAAGTCATTTCATCTAGTGGAAGTGTCTTACTGCACGGTCAAATTATTTTGCTTGTTTCAAATTTTATTTCTTGAAAAAAGTAAAATTATCTACCAGTAGAATAAGACACTTCCCTGGATGAAATGACTAAAGACATGTAAAAGTGTACAGAAATAGGTTAATACTGTCATAATGAAAAATATTAGAGATATTGACTAGATTTAAGATCAATTCACTTCATTAATTTTTGCAGCACAGTGTGGTGCTAGTTAAAACTATAGTCAGAAACTATTAGACTATAAAGTGCTATTAGGGCTGGGTGACGTGTCATGTATTCTCGTATACGGTGATATTACTTTTCAGTTTCAGCAATATTTTTATCAATATGTTTGAAAAATGATGAGCAATACATCTATTATATAATTTTTTTTTAGTTTTTCATTCTACTTTGTGCACTTTATTCATGGTATCCAGGACCATTTACTGGGTTAATTCAAACTGATTTGAAAGAATAAAAATTCATACATTTTATAATCTTCTTTAAAAGTGAATTTTAACATTATTAATACTGTGATTTATAATATTTATAATTCTGTCATTTTAAATTGTGCCATTTTAAGATGAGAAAACAGAACAAAACTGTGTAATCAAATAAACTCAGGGTTGGAAGACTCGGCGCAGAGTAGCAGCTCTCAGAAAGAATGGGCTCAATAACTCTATTAATGATAAGTTACTAACATTAATAAAGTTAATAAGTTGGCTTTAATAATGCTAACTTAAATATTATTGGATACCATGATAGATACACCGATCAGGCATAACACTGTGACCACCTCCTTGTTTCTAAGCTCATTGTCCATTTTATCAGCTCCACTTACTATATAGGTGCACTTTGTAGTTCTACAGTTACAGACTGTAGTCCATCTGTTTCCCTGCATACTTTGTTAGCCCCCTTTTACCCTGTTCTTCAGTGGTCAGGACCCCCATGGACCCTCACAGAGCAGGTACTATTTGGGTGGTGGATCATTCTCAGCACTGCAGTAACACTGATGTGGTGATGGTGTGTTAGTGTGTGTTGTGCTGGTCTGAGTGGATCAGACACAGCAGTGCTGCTGGAGTTTTTAAACACCTCAGTGTTGCTGCTGGACTGAGAACAGTCCACCAACCAAAAATATCCAGTCAACAGCGTCCTGTGGGCAGCGTCCTGTGACCACTGATGAAGGACTAGAGGATGACCAACACAAACTGTGCAGCAGCAGATGAGCTATCGCCTCTGACTTTACATCTACAAGGTGGACTGACTAAGTAGGAGTGTCTAATAGAGTGGACAGTGAGTGGACACAGTGTTTAAAAACTCCAGCAGCACTGCTGTGTCTGATCCACTCGTACCAGCACAACACACACTAACACACCACCACCACGTTAGTGTTACTGAAGAACAGGGTAAAAGGGGGCTAACAAAGTATCAGAGAAACAGATGGACTACAGTCTGTAACTGTAGAACTACAAAGTGCACCTATATAGTAAGTGGAGCTGATAAAATGGACAATGAGCGTAGAAACAAGGAGGTGCTCATAATGTTATGCCTGTTTGGTGTATTTCGAAATATCATAGAGCTTTATCAACATTTCACTGCACTAAATCTAATTAAATGGCACTAATTACACTCTCTTTGTAATAAAACACGTAATTGTTTAGTGTTCTGTAAGTACTGACGATATCCAGGATACACTCAGAAAGTATCCTGATGTAGTTTATCATGATAAGAATGTCATCATACTGCCCACCTCTACCACTGGCTATTTCACCTTTTATGGTGCAACAAAACAAGAGAAGCCATATCAGCCCCTTCACCTCCAGTCACGTGTTACAGTCTACCAAAATGACCACGCGAAACATGTAAATATTTAAGGGTCACTTTTGGAACAAAACCTTTATCTCCAAAATCGCAACTTCACAGGAGAAAGAAAAAGCATTATTAACTTGTAATAAAAGTTAATGTAACGAGTTTGAGGAATTTATCATTGCAGCCATAAAATGATCATTATTCCAGAGCGTAGCTGCCACTTACCGCACAACGGTGGGCATGATTTCACTGGCGAAGAACACACTGAGCATAGCCAGAGCCTGAGAGGAGAGCAGCCCCAGCACTGACAGCACCAGCACCAGCCCCCCATGCAGATCTGACAGAGGAAAAACAGGGAAACGTCAGTTTGTCTTTTTCACACGAGACAAATAAGAAAATACCTGCATATGATTTATACATTTACTGTTCTGTTTGATGTTAAAGGTCTGTGGTCCCTTATATAAAATATTTTAAGTGAATTTCAGCCTTAATTTTCCCTTTTACCCAAGCAGACGAATCTGACGACTGAAAGAGAATTCAAACAGAACTTTGGTGAAGGACGTGTCTTCAGAGGATGTGAGTGAATTATCTACTATAGCCATTAAACACAATATGGATAAAAGTATTGGGACACACCTCTTAATAACTGAATTCAGGTGTTTTATTCAGTCCTATTGCAACAGGTGTATAAAATCAAGCAGCTAGCCATGCAGTCTGCCTTTACACACATTAGTGAAAGAATGGGTCGTTCTAAAGAGCTCACTGAATTCGAGCGTGGTGCTGTAATAGGATGACACCGTTGCAACAAGTTAGTTCATGAAATTTCTTCCCTCCTAGATATTCCACGATCAACTGTGAGTGGTATTATTGAAAAGCGGAAGCGTTTAGGAACCACAGCAACTCAGCCACGAAGTGTCAGACCTCATAAAGTTACAGAGTGGGTTGCCGAGTGCTGCACATAGTGCATAAAAGCTGTCAACGCTCTGCTGATCAATAACTGCAGAGTTCAAACCTCCTCTGGCAACAACATCAGCACAAAAACTGTGCGCCAGGAGCTTCATGGCAGGGTTTCCATGGCCGAGCAGCTGCATGCAAGCCTTACATCACCAAGCACAGTGCCAAGCGTCGGATGGAGTGGTGTAAAGCGCCACCACTGGACTCTGGAGCAGTGGAAACGTATTCTGTGGAGTGATGAATCACACTTCTCTATCTGTCAGTCTGATGGACGAGTCTGGGTTTGGCAAATGCCAGGAGAACATTACCTGCCTGACTGTATTGTGCCAAGTGTAAAGTTTGGTGGAGGAGGGATGATGATATGGGGGTTGTTCGTTGTTTTTCAGGGGTTGGTCTAGAACCCTTAGTACAACGTAAAGTTGTACAATGTAGTGTGAAAAACTCCCGAAAAAAATCTGATGCCTCTGATGACTTTTAAATGATTATTTCAGGCTTTACAGGGCGACTAGTCTCCTCATTCAGTAAGGACACTTCTTCAATTTCAAAATTTTTTGTTAATTTTAACAAAAATATTTCATCTTTCATTTAGGCTTGGGCTTATTCTAGGTCTGGGAGACCCCCTCATTGTATTTACAATTAACAGAAATACATGAATTATGGGCGGAAGGCAGGATACACCCTGGACAGGTCGCCAGTTCATCGCAGGGCAGACAGACAGACATACCCTGCCTTCCGCCCAATGACAGCTGGGATAGGCTCCAGCACCCCACCGCGACCCAGAAGGATAAGCGGTTTAGATGATGGATGGATGGATGGACATGAATTATGTTGTATTATGTGCTTAGTAAGCAGTATCTGTTTGATCAATGTCTAAGGGCGCTTACACTGCGTGAGGGCCAGCAGCAGCAGTGAGGACAGGCCTGTGACGATGGCAGCCAGCAGCAGGATGCCCCTGCGTCCAACACGGTCCACGAACACACACAGGAACACACAGGCCAAGGTTCCGGTCAGGGTGCGCAGGAAGTAGCCAAAGTAGAACTGCGGTGAGTAGATGTGGAGGTTCCTGGTGAAGCAGTACTGGATCCCTGTTCCAATGAAGCTGAGGAGCAGGTAAAGAACATTACAAACAGGTAAACAACCTGCTGGACATACAGTACTGCGCAAAGGTCAGAGACCACCTTTAATTTATTACATTTCCAGTCAAAGTGGCCTCACTTTCAGTTTCTCTAAGAAATCTGCAGACACACCTCCAAAGTTCAGTCTTAGAAGCTGGTTGATCATTTTCTGAAGTAATCAAACCCATTCAGTGGTGTTGAGGTCTGGACTCTGGGGTGGTCAGTCCATCGTTCAGCTTCTTTGTTTGATGTGTCCATCTCCTTTTCTCAGTGAGGTTCTTCTTGACAGCTACACATCCTTTCAGACCCACAGCGCTGAGTCGTCTTCTCACAGTGGAAGGATGGACAGAAACACCTGTGGATGTTTTCAGATCTGAAGCAGCTTGATTTTCTCCTCTCTCTCAGAGATGAAAGCTTTAAGTGCTGTTTATCTGATGGGGGCAGTTTTGGTGTCTACCAGGTCTTCCAGGTGGTTGTTAGGAGGCCTGTTTTCTCTGTAGCATTTAATCATTTTTTAAAGTCAGTTTTGGAAACTCCTGCTTTTTCTCTTTTGACTCTCCTCTTCCTTGTGCAAGTGGATATTTTATATCTAATCTCCTCCTGAAAACTGAGTAATTTGTACTTAATGGCTGTTTTAACTGGAAATAAAATAAATAAAGGGTGGTCTCTGATTTTAGCACAGTGCTGTACTCGGCATGTAAAAATTCCAGCTTATGATCATCATCAGCCAGAACCGCTGTCGACATTTGCTCCTCTTTCTTGCTTGTTGTATTAAATGATGTTTAAGCACATTCAAACAATAAACCTACTTACACACCTGGAGATATTCCAAATGTTTAGTACATGCATTAAAGCCCTGGACTTTCTAAAATTATCTGCGCTTTTTAAACCAAGGCACACTTCAGTATATTAATGCAGTGTTTCTATGGCAACTCACAGGGTAAATGCCAAGATGAGGCAGTTTCTCCAGATAACTCTGGTGTGCCGTAGCTCGAGGGCATGGTGGTACTGTGGCTGGGGGTCTTCTGGGAAAGCCACATCAATCTCTGCAAAATGTCAGTTGATGGGGGGGGGGTGGTTAATAAAGGGTAGAGACAAAAAAAAAAAAAGTGGTTGGGAAAATTGCAATTTTACGGACTAGGATTGCAACGACTCCCTCATCCAACACTGTTTCAGTGGCAAACTTGTCTAGCCTGCATTCCTGACTGCATTTACATCCTTAGGCAGAGCTGAGGGTCAAATCTTTCTATTTAAACTTCCTAAATGGACTCTTTCACCGTCCCTGGCGGAGCTGGATTTGGATTAATGCAATTTCTGCCAGCAATTTGGAACATTCAACTGCAGGAAAAAGCACAGTTAACAATGTATAGGGCCATTTTAGCAGCTGCAGATACTGTTGTATTAGACAACAGACAACTCTCTCTCTCTCGCTCTCTCTCTCGCTCTCTCTCTCGCTCTCTCTCGCTCTCTCTCTCTCCGTCTCTCTCCGTCTCTCTCGCTCTCTCTCTCGCTCTCTCTCTCACGCTCTCTCTCTCACGCTCTCTGTCTCTCTTTCACTCTCTCCGTCTCTCTCTCTCTCTCTCACGCTCTCTGTCTCTCTTTCACTCTCTCCGTCTCCGTCTCTCTTCAACTCCGTCTCGCTCTCTCTCTCTCTCTCTCTCTCATTACTCATGCCCTGCAGGCTCAGGTGACTGACTGGCAATGGAAAGAATCTGCAAGACACTCTCCACAGCTATGAGTTCAGCAAAAGGTAGCACTATTTATGGGAGCAACACATGGACATGTGTCATACATGATAATCTAGTACATCATACACATTCTGAAAAGAGAAAACCATGTTATGAACATTCAATCCACATCTGACAGGCAGCAATACATCAATTTGGGAAGGACACTCTACGGCATCCCTTGGCAAAGGATGTCTAACTGTTTTTTTTGTTCAGCAAATCAAAGCTACAAATGGCATGTTCAAAAAAACGAGGCTGAAATTGAAACGTAGAAGCCGTTCCCACCCCGGATCAGTGACTGGATCATGTTCATATTTCACCTGACTGCATGAAAAGCCAGGCGTCATTGAAAGGTTTCATTATAAAATGCATTGTAGATTTTTATCAAGAATGACATTTTTTCATGAACAAACAATTTTGGGAGTGTTTTTTATGTAAACAAGAAATATCAGTGCTATATTATGATTAATACCACCTTTATTAGAGAAATAAAAATGTGATTTCCATTAAAACTCTGGACCATTTTTATGAAGAATATTAAGACTCTTCTTTTTAGATTGAATTCATTCCGATTATAGATTAAGACTGGCTTTGTTTATTTTCTGTAAAGAGTGTAAAAGAACCTCAAACACACAAATACTTCTCATTTGGAAATCAGTAACCGCAACCAAGGGCGTTGGACCTATTTCACTGTCTGTGTTAACATGCAAAGATTTTGGCCAATCTGATTGAATTCATTCCGATTATAGATGAAGACTGAGGTGTTTATGCTCACTTTACAACGTCGTGTTCTGAGACACATAAACTGGACGTCCGTCCCACCGCCGTCTTTTAAAGATCAGAGCATAAACTTCGTTTCCTCTGCAGACCAGTTTCTGCTCCTCCATGTTGAACGGTATAAACTTTCACTATGATGCGACGAACATGATCAGAACGGACTTAAACTTTCTGATAGGGAATGTAATCAGATACAGGCGTTTACACGGATATTATTCTTCTATTTATCGGATTATTTACATGATTACCCACCTCGATCAGTTGGATAGAAACTGTATTCCGAATGGCCTCAATCAGACTAGACTATTCCGATTGAGGTGTTTACATGGACGCATTCTATTCCCATTGAGCTATTAGTCGGATTATTAACGGATTATTAGGCTGCGTGTAAATGTGACTAATGGATAAATCAAATTAATCCCACACCCCTCGACGACACCCTCAAATGAATTCTCTTTAATTCCCTTCCTCATATTCTCCAGGGTATATTTTGTTTTTTCCATCTGAATTCACATGACCAACTCGTAAGGCAAATTATTCAGTAACTGCAGAAATAAATGTAAATTTATTTATTATTTTATTATGTATTTTTTATTTTTATTTTTTTTGTAAAAGCTTCCCTCAAATTAACAGAACATGTGTTTTATGATCACACATATTGCTATATGCTTACAGTTTACTGCTGAAAGCCACAAATCTTAGACACTCTTTGTATTATTTTATATAAATAATTTTTACAGAGCAGATCACTGAAGAGACGCCATCTGTTTATAGTTTATAGCCCAGATTTGTGGAAAAATGGGTCGAATTTCAGTAGAAAAAAAAATTGTGCATTCAGCTTCTTTTATTAAAAGGGTTTAAAATTACATCACCCATCTATTTGACTGGAGAGAAGACAGTTACAGCTCTCATATGACACCCACCTTTAGAAAGAAGCTTATGAAATACAAAAGTGATGAAGAATATGACGAAGTGTGTTTTGGAACCACCGGTGGTTCCAAGGAGTTGAAAAGGTTAAAGAATGTAGAGTATACGTCCGAGCTAAAGCTAAGACCATTCTCTACAGACTCTCTGGCTGGGTGTACATGCATGTACATTCCTTTCCACTGACAATCTTCAGAGCACAATCTCATAGGAAGGCATAGGAGCCATCGCACCCAGTCGGATCTCAATTTAATAGACTATTCCAAGGTTAAAATTTCCTCTCCGACATCCTTGTGGAGCTCCAACTCCTCAAAGACTGAAGAGCTGAATCAGGCGTGTAAAATCAAAGGAATTACTGAGCAACGTGCACTGCAGTCGCCCCCCCGGACCGAAAACAGACTACAGAACAGAACTTGTACCTGTCAGAAGGGTCTCAGCTGGGTAGATCTCATCTCTCATACATGTTCCATTTCGGATGGAGAACAATTGAAGGCATCTCTTAGCCTGAGGAATCTGAGACGTAGCCAGAAGCCAACGAGGAGACTCCGGGAACACAGAGACCCAGCTGGTAAAACATACATACAAACGTACAATTCATTCAATGCATACATACAAACAGACAGACATGTGTTTCACAAGTGAGCTTACACACAAATACATTTGTATGCAAAAGTTTGAGCACCCTGTTCAAATACACTGTGTTGATTTTCTTCTTCAGATAACGCACTTAAATATGACATTTTTCTGCAAATTTTAATGCACAATTTCTAAAGTTTAACATATTGATAAAAAAATGTAACATAAAATACAAAATGTGCTTTAACTTTTGCACAAGTCACATTTTTTATTTAATTTTTCCCCCTAATATGTTACGTTTAGCAAATAAACAGTAATTGTGTATGAAAATGTGCTGTGTGTTCTCTGTACAACATGTGTTTAACTAATTTTCACTTAAAAAAGTGGCGCCTAACTTTCGCATACAAATGTACAGGCACAAAGCAAACATTCAGACAGCTTTCTGTCAGGTTGATGCTAAACTCGGTGCCATGGGCTGGACAGAGAATGTTTTTGTGCTATGTTTGGGTTAAAATTTCAGGCCCACTCATCATGTACACACCTAGGCTACGTTCACACAGCAGCTAAAAGTGGCCCACATCTGATTTTTTCACCAAATACAGTTTTTTTGTGTGGCTGTTCACATTATCTTTTAAATGTGATCTGTATGGAACATCAGTCTGAACAGATCAGCTCCTAAAATGACTCGCATGCGCAAAAGAACGGAGCTTCACGCGGCTCATCCAGAGGTAAACAATCATGACTGTCAATGAAAGGGCGCTGTCACTTCTTTGGTTTGTGTCCTTGGATTCTTTAAACTTTGCTTTTAGACATTTAACTGTTCTTTGACGCTGTAGCCTCGTTCTCCTACGGCTGCGTTCAGACATTTCTTTAGAAATCTCTTTGAACACAGAGTGGTTTGGATAAGTCTCTTCTAATTTTTTTAAAGAAACATCACCCCAAACGTTTATGAGTCTCAGCAGCGCAAAAGTATGAAAAATATGGAGTTGGATTGTCGTATAAGTCACATGAATTCTGATCTGGCTATTCAGACTGAGTCGCATTGCCACATATCGGATGCGTATTGGATTTCAGTACCACATGTAAAAGCGTCTCAAATCGGAATTGAAAATGTCAGATTCAGTATGTTTATCTGTTCACACTGTCACACAGATACACATCTGTGTCACATACAAAGAAAAAGATCAGATGTGGGGCACTTACACCTGCTGTGTGAACACAGCCCAAGTGACTCACAGTCAAACAGCTCAACAGTGTACAGTTACTGACCACCAGTAAGAGAGCAGCAGCAGGAGAGGCAGCGTAGTGACAGCCTGAAGCACTGGCCAGTCACCGCACAACACCGCCAGGCCTGGCAACAGCAGCTCAGCAAAGACAGCAAAGAAGCCGCTGACCATGGAGACCATCAGCCTGTGAGGAGGATCACACAGCTCCAAACCTGCAGCAGCACACAGAGACACAGAGAACAAGAGTGAAACTCAGGATCATGGTCAGCTGAAACTGTACTGTACGTCCTTCTTGGAGCTTAAAAAATGCCTGGGTGCTCGAACACAGCAAAAAAATCAAAGCAAATAATAAAGGAAAAAAGAGGAATTTCCACTGATTTTTACAAAATTTCTAATTTTATTGTTGAGATGCAAAGAAAGTAATTCAGAGCGCTGTGATCACTGATTAGAAGTTTACTAATTTCTTTACAGCGGTGGTGATAGGAACGAGGGGTCGCCATGACCACAACACAAATATAGGCATTTTATTTACCATCCAGAACCACCGGTGAAAATGGTAAAATAGTTCTAAACACAATACGTTTTTTCAAACAATAAGTTTCATTTCATTAACATCTCGCATCAGACAGTGTATTCATAACATCTCATCTATGAACTTTCTGTGAGGGAGACTTTAGAGGCATTAAATGCTTTGGATATCTGGTTCCTATCACCACCACTGTGAACTGTGACTCATTGTTTGGTCATTAAAGGGGACTTCCTTCAACGATTAATCATAATGTCTGCATAATGTAATTATTAAGACGTAAACAAAGCCATTCATAGTGGTTTGGGTGTTCTGTTCTGGAAAAACAGAGTCAGAATTGTTCACAGTGGTGATGATAGGAATCAGACATCCACCTCTAAAAGCTCCCTCACAGGAAGTTATTACATGAAATGGTTATGAATTCACTGCCTGATGTCTGAGACGTTGTTTTACGATAGTTTTGAGAGGTTTTGGGCTAAAATGCATATTTTTAAATCCTGATATAGTACTATTTTACTATATATATATATATATATATATAAAAATTACTGGTAACTTTACAGGAGAAGAAAAAAACCTACTTTACTTTTAATGTAAGTCAATGGAACCAGAATTTTTTCCAAGATTTTTTTTGGCTGTTTCTTTTGGTCCATTCATCATGAAATTTACACACAATGTAAAGAGCAACAACTGAAGGAAAAAACTGAAAAACATCAAAAATGGAGATACGAGGTTTTCTTCCGACAGCAGCGATATATATCTATGGTGGTTTGTGTTGTAGTCATGGCGACCCCTGGTTTCTATCACCACCACTGTAAAGAAATCTGAGTCTCTACAACCATTTCACACCAAACCACTCTGAATGACTTCGTTTACATCTGAACAACTGAATTATACAGAAAGCCTGAAAAATTGGTTGAATTCCCCTTTAAGTAAAAGACATACTACTGACTGGTCTACAGGGTGATCTAGAAGATGTTTGCAGGTCCTGGTGAAAACATGTAAAGCTATGTGAAATTCCTCAAAGACCAGACTGAATGACCTCAGTTCTAGTGACGGAATGTATGACTCTTTGTAGCACCCTATAGACAGGACCGGAAAAACAGAGTTCACTTCCTCCTGGCGCTCTCCATCCTACTATTGTTCTGAAAAGCTGGCTATGGATCAGTAAAACCGAAGCTTTTCATCTGTCAAACGTCAGTTGTTCCCAGATTTTCTACCTGGATTGAATTCTGTGACCTCAGAGGAATCTCATGCTTACTTTGAGAGTGCATGTGTCGAGGCTCCTCCTGATCCCTGTAACAGCCTGCACCACTCACGCCCCGGCATCCCAGAGACCCCCCCACACTTTTACGCAACACAGATGGTGCAGTTCTCAGGCTGTTTGTACGAAAGCGCTGTACAAAGCGTTCCCTCAGCAGTTTTTCCCTCAGTGAGTTAACAATCATCTACACACACAAACGCTCCCATACAACAATCACAGGAAGGCCAGGATGAGAAACACTGGCTTCCCTCAGTGGAAAAACCAGAGACGAACCTGCTGGGCCTGGTTGATGGCCCAGTTACGCTTCAGCTTAGGCTCTTATTTCACCCACACATTCTAGACTGTGAGAGAAACAGAGAGATTAAGGAGGCGGGTCCTGTGAACTCTTGACCTGTATGATTTTGAAGAGTGAAAAAAAAAGATAAGTAGAGAGATTGTCAGGAGCCGCTGTAGTTTTATTTATCTCACAGAATCTAGCAAGACTGGAGATAGATTAGAAAATATTACAGGGCAACTTCACAGATTTTTCAAAATTTCTTTATAATTCAGTGGTCGAGATGTAAACAAAGCCATTCAGAGTGGTTTGGTGTGAAATGGTTCAGATTTCTTTACAGTGGTGGTGATAGGAACCAGGGGTCGCCGTGACTACAACACTAATATAGACATTTTATTTACTATCCAAAACCACCAGTGAACCTCCACAAGTCTGAGTTTTTAATATGTATGTAATGTTGATTAAGGAAAATAGTGGAATTTCTAAAAATGTGTTTATTTAAAGACTATGCAGCCTCACAACACCCTGCAGTATCTCTCCACGATGAATGGATATATTTTAGGTCAACAGCTTCTATCAAAACAATCATAAAACATCTCAAGCATCAGCAGTGTATTCATATTCATAACCACTGCATGTAATAACTTTCTGTGAAGGGTTAAACTCTTCAGATGTTTGGATCGTTTCACTACTGTTGTGAACAATTCTAGATCAGTTAGTCCCAGTCCCATTTCACCCCTCGCCCCTACCACTTAGCCCTTAGCCCTCAGTTTCGCACGTTCACGTCTAGGGGTAGGGTGTCCTGATTCTTGTTGAGATAGAGGGGTGGGGTGAAGTGTTGGGGCTACATGACCCTCCAAACGGAGGTTTTTCAGAGGCAACACTCCAAACAGAGAGTTATGAGAAAAAAAATTGAATTTTGAATTTTTGAAGGTCCCTAAATGTAACTAAAGCCCAGCAGTGAGGAGCTGAACTCTACCCTCCTCTGCCGTCACTGCAGACTGGCAGGGTCGCCTACAGAGCAGCACTGGTAGCTGTTAATGAAGTAATGTTCTTTTTATTTGAGGGTCCCATTTCAGAGGGAAGATTTCAACCACGACCCGTTGTGACTCAGTTCAGAGGGGCAAGATGACATTCAAAAACAAGAGGTAGGGGTGAAAATAAGAAATGAGATTGAGTCTAAGTTACTCCAGAATGGAGCAAATCACATTAATCCACTCTGAATGACTTTCTTTACATCTTAATAGCTACATTACACAGACATTTTGAAAAATCAGTGGAGATCCCCAGAACATTGTGCAGCAGAGTGAGCCAATTCAGCCAATCTGCCAACTTAGCTAAGAGCACATCGCAATAGCAAGTAGGAAAACAGCCTATTGATCTGGAGGAAAAGTCACTGAATCAGCAAAGATGTAGAAAAATGACTTTGCAGGCCTGATACATGAATGTGGCATATGGATTTGATTTGGTCACCTCAAATTTGGTCATTAGTTACTGTCTGATTTGGGTTTTCTCGCATATACTGGAAAGGCTCTGGTAGGAACATGAGCCTATGACTCCACTGTGGGCTCACTGTGTCATGGTTATAAGTAACAGTGGGCTCAGTGAGATATAAATGGAAAGCTGCTTGTAACTCACACCTGGGCACTGTCAATCAATGTGTCTGCACCTTCTGTATACAGAAGGGAACTCCCAGAACACAGGAAAAGGGAAAAGGTGGTTTCCGCAGCTCAGGCCTGCCATCGTTAAGTAAGATTCATAATTACTCTTCATGCGAATTCCTGGTTTTTTCTTCAAAACACAAACATACGTCTTATCTGCAAGGCATGATGGAAACCAGGATGTGGCAGATAAACAGGCTCTTCCTATTCTGCGTGGCCCTCTTGCTGACTGATTGAAACACTTTCCACAAACAAATACCGTCCTCGAAACACGCATGGAGATTTTTAAAATACACCGATCAGGCATAACATTCTGACCACCTCCTTGTTTCTACGCTCATCGTCCATTTTATCAGCTCCACTTACTATATAGGTGCACTTTGTAGTTCTACAGTTACAGACTGTAGTCCATCTGTTTCTCTGCATACTTTGTTAGCACCCTTTTACCCTGTTCTTCAGTGGTCAGGACCCTCATGGACCCTCACAGAGCAGGTACTATTTGGGTGGTGGATCATTCTCAGCACTGCAGTAACACTGATGTGCTGGTGGTGTGTTAGTGTGTGTTGCGCTGGTACAATTGGATCAGACACAGCAGTGCTGCTGGAGTTTTTAAACACCTCAGTGTCACTGCTGGACTGAGAATAGTCCACCAACCAAAAATATGCAGCCAACAGCGTCCTGTGGGCAGCGTCCTGTGACCACTGATGAAGGACTAGAGGATGACCAACACAAACTGTGCAGCAGCAGATGAGCTATCGTCTCTGACTTTACATCTACAAGGTGGACTGACAAGGTAGGAGTGTCTAATAGAGTGGACAGTGAGTGGACACAGTGTTTAAAAACTCCAGCAGCACTGCTGTGTCTGATCCACTCAGACCAGCACAACACACACTAACACACCACCACCACATCAGTGTTACTGCAGTGCTGAGAATGATCCACCACCTAAATAGTACCTGCTCTGTGAGGGTCCATGGGGGTCCTGACCACTGAAGAAGTAGTAGTAAGTGGAGCTGATAAAATGGACAATGAGCGTAGAAACAAGGAGGTGGTCATAATGTTATGCCTGATCGGTGTATCTATCCTCATTCCAGACACACGTTCACATGATCTCTCAGTGTTACATAAGCGACGGCGCTGCGAGTGAGAGGAAAATTAAGATACAATAGCACAGTGTACTCAGAGTCGTCCACTGCTTGGCACGAACGAGGTGGCAAAGGTCTGACCACCTTGTGTACTGTAGATAGCAACTCGGTCTCAGTGTGTTTGTTTGCCTATAAAGAGGTCACGGGGTCACATGACGGCGCAGTGAGGAGGACTCACGGGCGATGTAGGACGAGAGAAAGACTCCTGCGAGCACGGTGCCGTGGCACAGGCGAAGGAGCTGGAAGGCGGCAGGGCTGTTGGACAGGCATACGGCCACTCCCAGCAGGCCTGAGAGAGAGACAGACAGCAGGAGAGCCCGCCGCCGGCCTAACCTAAGAAAAAAATATATATTTATATGCATTTTTTATTATTTGCTACACCAAACTGTACAAAATCAGCATGTTAAAAAGAGCGGTGAGATGAAGGGAAATGTTCATGTTTCTTAAACACAAAACAAATAAGCAAACAAAGCTGAGTTATCAATAATAATGTAGAGTCTACATTACATTACAGAACTTAATCTGGGTCAGATGTCAATATAAATTCCAATAAAAACTAGAAAAGTGCATTTCCTGAAGACAATGCAGAGCTTAAGTAATTCCCCAGTATTGATAGGGTGCCAGATGGTTGTTGCTCTATTTTAGCAGGTTGCTGCGCGGTTGCTAAAGCAACCAAGCTTGGATTGGTAGTACTAATAGTTTTCATTAAATAATTTAAAAATGTAAATAACCTTTCAATTGAATGGTCTTTCAGCCACAGTTGCTAGGGTGTTACTAGATGGTTGCTATGGTGTGGCTGGGCAGTCGCTATGTTGTCCCAGGTGGTTTCTAAGGTGTTGCTAGGTGGTTGCTATGGTACCTTAGATGGTTGATAGAGTGTTCTTAAGCGTTTCATATGTTGCCATTGTCTCTCTGGTGGTTGCCAGGGGGTTACTGTGGTGCTTCAAGGTGTTGCTAGGTGGTTGCTATGGTGTACCTTAGATGGTTGCTAGAGTGTTCTTAAGCGGATTATATGCTGCCATTGTCTCTCTGGTGGTTGCTAGGGTGTTGCTGTGGTGTTTCAGGGTGTTGCTAGATGGTTGCTATGGTATTAGAGGTGATTCCTAAGGTATTGTTAGGTGATTATTATGGTATCTCTCATGGCTGCTAGGGGCTTGCTGGTTGCAATGGTGTTTCAGAGGGTTGCTAGGGTGTTGCTAGTGTACTTGTATCACTCCTGACATAAGAGGGCTGTACAACCTTTTGCACAACCACTCTTGAGAATTCCACTATACACTATAACTATAACTATTCCACATTTCTGTTATTTTGATTCTGGCTGATCTGTCTTGCAGTATTATGAGGTAAATAACGTGAGGCGCTTGCGCTGTATTTGAAAGCTGCAGCTACACCTGAACCAACATGATTATGCATAACTCATAGCCTCTGCTCTTACTGTCAGTGTAGCACTTTATTTGATTCATGTGATTTAAATAGACGATAAAGAATTTAATATAAGTTTTGAGCAAAAATTGTTTTCATTTTACAACTACTAGAAAGTACTGGACGTGTACTAATATGTTTCATGTGTCAGACAATTTTACTGCACAAATATTGGAATCAGCTATAAAAATTCATCATGGTGCACCCCTAATAGTAGTACTGCAGGAAACTATAAAATTTCTGTAATGCTGTAATGTATAATATTTCGACCTCAGTATAATATTCATGTAATTGTCTTATAATGATCTATAATACTGTGCAGCTTCCTGTGGTATACTACAGTAACAGTCTAAATTTACTATAAGACTCTTAAAGAAATCCTGCAGTGTTATTATAGATATGTTTCTTAAGGCGGACAATACACAACGTAATCTACAAATAACATAACATTCACTTACTTCACACAACATGCACTAGTTTCTGAACCACAGAGGCATTTTTCATAGAGCTGCTCTTTTCAGTAAAGCACCTGTGAAACAAAAGTAAACAGGATAGTTTATGAAGGCTCACCAATCACAAACAGTGCCGAGGAGAATGTAGCCCAGGATCCAGCCCATCATGAAGCAGATGTGCTGGAGAGGAACTTTCCAGTAGTTCCCGCAAACCAAGTTCCACTGTTGACACAAGAACAGAAAGGCACACAGATTAAGCCCATGAAGAGACACTCAAAACACGGTTCTTGGACCCGTATGGATTTGTTTACCTGCTAAATTTCAGGTGCACAAACAGGCTGTTGTGTAAAGACAGTGAGAACTGTTACAGCATGTCCAGGAGTCAGGTTGAGGAAGCGCTAGCTCCATCGTGTGCCACTCTATTAAAATTTAGATCACGTTTCTCAATAAGAAGTTGTGCTTTTAAAGAGGAATTGCATAGGTTTTCACAATTTTCTACATAATTGAGTCAATAAAGATAAAAACAGCAATTCAGAATGTTTTGAACTTATCCAAGTCAGAACTGTTCACAGTGATGGTGATGGAAACCAGACATCTGAAGAGTTTAACGCCTCTAAAAGCTCCCTCACAGGGTATGTGGAGGGTGTTCTGAGGCAAAACAGTCTCCAAAAAAACAAAAAAACAAACTTATTTTCAGATTTCCTTTTACTATAATTAAATTAACATTCCATATAAAAGCTCAGAACGCTTGTGTAGGTTCACTAGTGGTTTTGCTTAGTAACTATAAAGGCTTTATTTGTGTTGTCATGGTGACCCCTGGTTCCTATCACCACCACTGTAAATAAATATGTCTGTGAGTTTTACTCTATAATGATACACTTCATATCAAACCACTCCGAATGACTTTGTTCACAACTCAATGACTGAACTAAACAGAAATTTTGGAAAACTGGTGAAGTTTCCCTTTAAAACACAGTGAATGAGTGGCAGAAAACAAGAGAGTCCATAGTGGCTTATTATGGCGACACTGACTGAACAGAATATGCTTAAACAGGAACGGAACAGGAAAAAATTACATGTGACAAATACAGTAATTAAATCATTAACGATGTAAAAGCCATTCAGAATGATTTGAACTCAGAACTGTTCACAGTGGTGGTGATAGGAACCAGACGTCTGAAACAGAAAGTTATTACAAGAAATGGTTATGAATTCACTGCCTGATGACCGAGACAATGTCTCAGTGAGATAAAGTTTTGGACAAAAATATATTTTAAAACTCATGCAGGTTTCTTGCAGAGGTGGGTCCACAAAGTAACAACCCTCCCAAGAATTTGATTCCAACTGCCTGAACAAACCCCTTTGCTGCTGGTTTGAGCAAACCAGAGAGGCCAGGCAGTGGAGCAAAACTCTGGGGAAGGTCGTTTTAATGTTTAACTCACCTCTGCAAGTAACCTACATGTCGTCGCTGTCCAGTGAAAAACAAGTATCTCCAAAATATTAACTTTAGAGGAGAACAAGAGAACACTCTTACCTTTCAACGTAAGTCAATGTAAAGAGATTTTGTTCCAAGTGAATTTAGAGCATTTCTATTGGTCAATTCATCATTAAATTTTTACACAACGTAAAGGACAGCTGGTGTGTTGAAACGATGTAGAAAACTAAAAATCAACAAAAATAGAGATGCATGGTTTTCATCGGACAGCGACGATGTGTTTTCTCAATTTTCCAACCAGCCACCGTCACTGCAGAGAAATCTGAGTCAGTGTAAGTTTTTCTACAGTGAACTATTTCACATCAAACCACTGTTTACATCTCAACCACTAAATTTTGCAGAAATATTGAAAAACCAGTGGATGACTATCTCATTAAGAAGCGAGTAGAACTGTAGAACAACCCTGTTCCCGGTTCAAGTGCCTACAAGCACAGAAGCCGCACCACCTGCATCAAAAAAGGATGTATCAACATCAAACTCAACATCTGCGTCAAGATCAAATGACGTGCCAGGTGCAGTGGGTTCACTTTCACTAGTGATTAGCTCAGACAATCTGCAGACTGCCATAATTACATTACTATCAGTCTAAGGTCTTGTTGTTCAGGGTGGACGCTCTTCTTCCTGCCTCACCCCCGCCCCCCTACCATCCAGAATATTCTCTTGGAAAATCTACCTCAACACGACACTGACTAAAGCCCACAGACGTCACGCAGTGGGAAACACGGCACTGGAGTCAAGGCTTCAGGAAGAAATGAATTGGAGACTGCAGCCTTCCTGTGGAACAGTCTGACCACTCCTCACCCAGTCCCCCCGCTGCAAAGACTTTCCCTCAAACAAGCACCAGAACAGGGGGTAACACTGCTTCTGATCACACTGTTGTAGGGCTGGTCGATATGATCATGTATTGTTATTGTGATAAATTGCATCACAATAGGTTTTTCTGAGCATATCGTGGAAGGAACACTGTAACGAAACACACAGTTAGTCAAAGAGAGCATAATTAGTCCTGTTTAACTGGATTTAGAGCAGCACAGAATGTGAAGCACTGAGAAAAAATGCAGTACTGATAGTTTTTCTTATTTTTTTTATGTAAATAACCTTTTAATCTAAGTGATCTCTTAGGCATAGTTGCTAAAGTGTTACTAAACGGTTGCTATAGTGTTTCAGGTGGTTGCTAGCGTGTGGCTAAGCAGTTGCTATGTTATCCCAGGTTGGTTTCTAAGATGTTCCTAGGCCAGGGGCTCTTTTACTGTCCTGTTGCGGCTCCACAGCAGAATTAGATTTGTAGGTAAAAATAAAATAATCCTCCTTTACAGTAAAATAAAGCTCTGCTGATCGTTCAACACAGTTTAACAGTAAATGGTCTTAAATGCTGGAGTTAATGTAGAACTGCTAATTCACCCTTTTACCATGAAGATTGGCGCACAGACTTCTGGTCACCATAGCAACGCAGATAATATCTTGCCTAGCTTGTAGCTAATGAAACAGCAAAGGGAGAGATTTAAGATTAACATTGATAATTTGAAGATGAATTGACTTATATGCATTTATAAGTATAGATAATAACTGGTTTCCTGATACGTTTAATCTGCAACGAGAAACTGTCAAACACTAAAAAGTCACAAAGCTGAATTAAGCTTCTTGTTCGAATTTTCCTGTTCCACCTTAAACAGTGCAGCAGTTACATTCTGGCACCTGAGGCGCCATTTAAGGTGGAACGGGAAACTTTGAACAAGAAGCTGGTGAATGAGAAGCGACTTCAGCCTCATAAAAAAACATCGAACGTTCAGAGACATTTTACAAGAAATTATTCTACTTTTGTGGGAAAGTTTCCTGCTGGAGATGCGAGAAAAGCGGCTATAGCTGAGCTAAAGCTTAAAGCAGAGCAAAGTAAGTCCACATTTTCGTTTATATTGTATTTTAGTCTATTTTAGGACATTAGCACGTATTAAGACCTTTTTTTGAAACCTTTATTTTTCAGAGTATCCTGATGCTTTTTTTATCAGTTCCAATGTGATTCCAATGATCCATACCATTAAAAAAACAAACAAAAAAAACAATTAAAAATACCATAAAAAACTAAAAATGTCTTTCAGAGCAAATCTGAATTCAAATTCAAAATTATTTTGACTTTGAATTCTGGAGTTAACATGAAACAAACGCAAAATGTGTGTGTTGGTTACAGCATCGATCATACTAACCTTATATTACTGAAAGGAATTGTGTCTTACTATCCAAAACCACCAGAGAACCTACATGTGAGTTTTTGTATGTAATGTTAGTCCTCTAATTAGTCCTCTTTGGAGGCTGTTTTTCCATAAATGGGTTTAAAAAAATAAGTTTTAGGATAAAATATGATCGAAAAATCATTCTAAAACAACCTCTCAGGCACCAAGCAGCACATTTCACCTTTTCATAACCATTCGTAACCATTTTATTTCACAAATAGAGGTAGAAAAAACAAAGGCTTCAGACATCTGGTTCCTATCGCCACCACTGTGAACATTTCTGAGTCAGCAAGTTTCTCTAGAACATCAGAGCCCTGAATGACTTTCTTTACAGCTTAATGATTCAATTACACAGATATTTTGTAAAAGTGGATTTCCCTTTTAATTCACTTTAATTCTGGATTAAACACGAAACAAACGCAAAATGTGTGTTTTGTTTACAGCACTAATCATACTAACCATTTACAGGTTGATTCAAAATATTCATCCGATTTCAAAGAGCCATATTTCTACAACCGTGAGGCGCCTAGGAACCAATCACAATCCAACTGAAAGAGGGGGTCATAGAGTTTCTGACTGTCAGTGGAAGATGGCTCCCTTCAGTCTGAGAGATGAGAACCCTGAGCAGAAAGCGTTCTGCGTTCTCCACTTCAATAAGAGTGAATCCGTCATAACTGTGCAGTGTGATTTTCGTGGGCAGTGAAGCTCCAACAGCTCAGAGCGTTCGTCGTTGGTTCCACAACACTGGATGATCTCCGAAATCGCACTGAAAGAGCCGTGAGTGCAGTGACACCCGACATGCTCAATCCAGTATGGGATGAGTTTGACTATGGCGTTGATGTCGTCCGCACAGCTGGAGGAGGTTCATACTGAGACCTTGTAAAATTACATAATAAACTTTATACTCAATTAAACCATTTACAGTTCACTGCATTGTTCTGTATTGATTTACAAGTGAAATAAATCATTTTGAAATCGGATGAATCTTTGAATCACCCTGTATTACTGAAAGGAGTTGTGTCCTGTTGTGTTATAGTAACACTTTAAATATCACCTCATATTAAACCCTTGCCAGAAGTCCATAAATCCAAATCATACCATAGCAAAGCTCACAGTTCACTCATTTAGATACGAACAGACACCTCTGATGAAGACTTTTAATACCCTGTTTATTCTGTCCAGTTCCTAAGCTCTGACAGGGCCTCAGGGCATCCTCTGCCCAGTGTTTGCAAACTGGGATGGGCCTCTTTGGGTCTTTGAATAGTGATGACATCCACCTGTTTCAAACGTCGTTTATACAGACATTCAGCAGACCTGGGATCTGCACTCTTAAAAACGATGGTGCTTCAAGGGTTCTTTAGCAAAGAAAATGGTTCTACATAGAACCATGACCACTCAAGGAACCCTTTGCATGATTAAAGGGTTCTTTGCCTCATGAAAGAGTTCTTTAGACTGATGGATATGGTTCTATATAGAACCTTTTTGAAAATGGTTCTATATGGCACCCAGTTGTTACAATGCCAAGCTTGTAACAAAAGAGTAACCTTTGTGGATGCTATACAGAACCCTTTCCGAAAAGGTTCTGTATAGAACCGCTTATCGCACATTGCTTTCATAATGCGGAACTCTTTAATCACGCAAAGGGTTCTTTGAGTGTTCATGGTTCTGTTTAGAACCATTTTCTTTACTAAAGAACCCTTGAAGAATCACTTTTTTAAAAGTGTAGTTCTTGTGCATTAACCTACATGTCGCTGTTGGCGGAAGAAAACCTTGTATCTCCAGAATGGTGACTTTACAGGAGAAGGAAAAAACCTGCTTTACTTTAATGTGAGTCAGTGGAACCAGAACTGTTCCCAAGTCATTTTGGGTCGTTTCTTCTGGTTCATTCTTCATGAAATTTACATACATTGTAAAGAACAACAGGCATTTTTAAATGATGCCAAAACCTGAAAAACATAAAAAATGGAGATACGAGGTTTCCTTCCGACAACAGCGATATATTCTATCATTTCAATCATTTCAAAAAGAATCACTTTAAAAAGTTCAGAAGCAGCGGCTCAGCCCTGTTCTAGTATCACCAAAAGTACACGCAGATCTTGTTAGAAGCACAGACAGTATCAGAACTCAGAGACTCAATTTTATAACAGCCTTTTTTTCCCTTTAGAGTTAACTGTACAATCTCCCATCTGAATTACTTAGACGACATAGTATTTTACGCGTTCCCATACTTTTCCAGGTCTGGAAATGGCGCTTTTTTAAATGTTGTACTCTGCAGACTTTCCAGACTGTCTTAAAGGGGAATTCCACCAATTTTCCAAAAATTCTGCGTAATTCAATCACTGAGTTTGAAACAAAGTCATTCAGAGTGGTTTAATGTGAAATAGTGTGATGTGAAATTGTAGAGAAACTCACTGACTCACTGAATTTTCTTTACAGTTTCTTCACCGTCTTTACAATGTAGCCATTTTATTTACTATCCAAAACCACCAGTGAACACAGATGTGTCTTCTGACGCATCTATATACCATCATCACATTTACATGTAATGTTGATGATGGTAAAATAATATAAATAAAGATAATAAAGTCTTACAAACAAACAAACAAATGAATTTATTAATAAATAAAGTCTTCTTTGGGGACTGTTTGTCCATTAATGGATTTAAAAAGAGGTTTTAGGATAAAATATTGTCATAAAATGATTGTGAAGCAGCGTTTCAGGCACTTGGGAGTACATTTCACCATCTCATTTCATGTAATAGACGTAGAAAAAGCATAATAAATACTTTTGACGTCTGGTTCCCATCACCACCACTGTGAACATGAGTCAGTAAGTTTCTCCAGAACACTAGATAATGAGTGTTTACAGCTTAATGATTTAATTACGCAGATATTTTATAAATAAATTCCCTTGTAATTCTCTGAGGACATCAGTAGAGCACTCAGCATGACCAGGACACCAAATGATCTGCAGGGTGACCACAACTAGGAGACATTTTGAGACCGTGAGCATGAGAGGAATCCTGCGGACCACCAGGTTCACACACTGACCCCCTCGCTGTAAGTGTGAGAGGGAAACTACAGCTGCTCCCTACAAACACACAGGCAGGTGTTCAACTCCGTGTGAACAGCACAGCACGCACTGACCTCGGTGACGAAGTTGCTCTGCAGCCCGGCTGGTTTGGAGTACTGCCATCCCCGGGTACACGGCACCACCTCTCTGTGGACCTTCTCGGTGAAGTTGGTGAGGTTTGTCGGGTACCTGTAAAGCTCACAGTGGCTCAGTCCAGAGCCGTTCACCCAGGGGATGGTGAGGTTGAGGTACGCCTGTCTGGAGAAGTTACTGAGGAGGAGCGACGAGGGAAGCAGCGAAGGGTCCGGCTTGCAGTGATACGACTCGGGAACCAGCGTGAAGAACACGTCGCAGAAGAGGTTCAACGACACGGCGAAGTTGGGGAACCAGCTGAAGACCGTCACCACCCGGTTGTATCGTCCGAAACCTCCGATCTGCGGGTAAACCTTGGCTTCAAACTCCATATTCAGTCAGAGAGCGCGTCTCCAGCAGCTCATACTCACAAGCAGTGAGCCGTTCTAGAACGCTAAAGCCCCGCCCACGTGCGCTACGATTGGCTAGAAGTTCAGTCCACGAGTTCCAGGACGCCAAAAGCCCCGCCCACGTGCGCTACGATTGGCTAGTACTTCATACTCAGCTGCTCTCGTAGTAGTAGTAGTTTATACTTATAAACAAGCGCTATCCAGCACTTCATACTCAGATACTGGCTAGTAGGGTTGTGAACGCGGCGTTTAATATGTTTTAATGTTCGCAGTTCCTTCACCAAATTATAGTTCCTTAACAAGCAGCTCGTTGCTACGTCAGAGTAACGAGCTCCGCCCACTCGCTGCACAGCCGGCAGTTCGTTCTCCAGCTCCTTACACTAAACTCCCAAACTGTCATCACCGCTGAGCAGCTTTTTCGTTTTTATTGCGGCGGTTTTATGGCTCAGTCCGATTTGGTCAGACTCTGAAGATCAGACTACACGTTTGGCGAATGGTATTGGGTTCATTTCTGGCTGATTCCAGGTCGTTTAGCTGTTCTTCTGTCACAGCTGCCCATTGAAAAGCTGCTCAGTGGTGATGACAGTTTGGGAATTTAGTGTCGTCTCATCTTCAGAGTCTGACCAGATCGGCTGTCGGTCAAATGTGATCTTAAAAGTGTCCATTTTCTGTTTGTGGCAAAGTAAGAACGTTCAAATGTCTTGAGCGTCAAACACGTTGCTTAGCAACGGCGTCTCAGCGGAGTGATACAGTGTTTGTGAAAAAGCCGTGAAGTTATGGCGAAATAACAGCACAGTTAGAGCGCTTCTCAACCAATCAGCTTGCGTCGCCGGAACTAACTGTTGTGTGTATGTATGTATACATACATATACATATATATATACAAATACTTATTGTTTTATTGTCTCTACCTTTTTCCTGATCATAATTGATAAAGTACTGATTGGTGTGGGCATCACTTAGGGCCCCAAAGTGTTCAGAAACTGTCTTATGTGTGTGTGTGTGTGTGTGTGTAGTGTGTATGACGAATTCAGTTAGGCTATAGTCTACCTTTATGTAAAATTTTGTGTCTATTCCACTTTTGCTCTGCCACTGAAGGGGCTCCACACTTCTGCCAGGAGAGGCCGTGTATGTCTGGTTCCTCAGGGGACGGTCGTGGTCCATCATCACCTAATATTTCTCCTGGAATAAAATACTGATTAAATCTAAAGGTTTTGTTTTTCTCTTTGGTGTAGTGTGAAATTTGGATTAACATTGAGCTGAACTGGTCAAACACACCCATGTGTATTATTTTATTTGACTAAGATTACAGATTTTTCCCCTTACATTAATGAATACTGCCTATCCACTGCTCCACTTCTGAATGAACTAAAATGTAAAAATCTTCCACTGATTACCAACAGAGAAAGCTCTAACTGTATTAGTCTGTTGTCAGACAACAACGCCCCGAAGGCCTGAAGAGAAGCCCACTATACTTTTCCAGTTGTGGATTATGAGACTCTCTTCTTATTTTGACCAAAGCGAAGGCAACTGAGGCACAGCTGTATTTTTCTCCCTCATACAGACTAATATTTACATATGACAATGATCTGTACTATAATTTCACCTGACCAGTCACACCTGAGAAGTGTTGTTTCTTGCTATGAGCAGTATAAGCTGCTGCTTAGGGCCTCTGCAAGTGTGTAATATTTATTAATTTTTCAAAACGTTTATTTATTTTACATTAAATGTCTTGTATACACTTAGTTTTATTGTCTTTACCTTCTTCCTGACCATAATTGATGAAGTACTGATTTGGGTGGGAAACTGGCCTCGCTTAGGGCCCCAAAGTGTTCAGAAACTGTCTTGCACCTGATGCAAAAATAACTACATGCTCAAAACCTTACTTTCCCACCAGGTGAGGCTCTCTGTAATCAATATTTGAAGCACTACAGACCAAAGGTTTGATACACACTGCTGTTTACTGTGTATGTTCCTGAGAACAGTGAAAACTCTAATCTAGCCCACGACTGGAAACTTAACAGGTATTTCTAAATGGTTATGTTTTGTAATTTTGATGAGTTGCAAAGTAATAATAAAACAAGGTCATCTTTTCCTGGTGAAGTTAGTCATACCGACTCTTAAAAAAGCGGACGAGTCACTTCTTTATTTCCAACTCTGCTGCCACCTGGTGGCTGTGCTTTGTAACTGCAATTGTCCTTCTTAAAAAATGCCACAGACAACAGACAAAATCATATTTCAAAAATTTATTTACGAACATAATCTCTGAGGAACAACAGCAGTTCTCGCGCTCTCTGTACATGCAACTGTAGAAAATAACAATTTTGAATTTTTACTCCATTAACTTTTTTTTTTTCTTTTTTAATTTTTTAAGTTTCTCGCTTCTGAATTTGCAGGATATCAACACAGCTAAAGGTGAAAGTACTGGATTTTTGACAGCACTGACGATAGCATCAACAAACCCCTCCCTCCCATAGCTGCTCCAACAATATGTACACAATTGAACTACATTGTACAAAAAGAGAAAAAGAAAAAAAAAGAAAGAAAATAAAAGTTACATTATTACATGACCTGCAGCGAGTGCTCCGTCTCGCTGCCTTTTAGAACCCCACATTCTACTCAAGTTCAGACTAGTACAAAGAGGAGGGTGCAAAAGGTCCTGGGAGTTTATATACAGCTATGTACAGAGTCTCTTTTTGTTTTTTTTGTTGTTTTTTTATCTTTTTTACTCATTACAAGAGGAAAATTTACACAGCGGAGACCTTCAAACTCAAACATACCACAGGTGTCAGAAAGATAATAAATAGGTTATTTCTCACCATTTAAGAATACTTCTACATGCTTTATGAGTCATTTTCCATTTTCAAGATACATCTACTGTTGGATTTATGTATAGTGAGGAAGAGGAGGGGAGAAAAAAAAAAAGGCTTGAAATTGTGACTCGGCGCGTAAACCTGTCCAGTTAAAGAAGCTTAAAGTGAACGGATTCAAGTGTGTGCAAATCGCAGAGGTAACGTGTTGCAGAGATCAGTGGCGAGCTGAGGTGAGGTCCCGGCCCACCCGGTTAGCTGACGGCTAAGTGCTTCACTGTGAGAGAGGAGATCCAGTCCCAAACTCTGCAATGAAGGATGAGCGACCCTAATGGTTCATGGAGGTGGTCCACATATAAAACGTGATTTAGAACTGCTACATAATAATGCGTCACAATTTCAGGCCTTTCGTTTAAAAGAATGAAGAGCTGGGAGGGTAAAATAAAACAGACAGCTGAGGGAATTAAAAAGGGTGGCGAACAGTTCAGAAGACAGAACTAAAACAAAACACAATGTTCCTGTAAACAACAGTGAAGACTGCAGGGCGTAGTCACCGTATACATTCTCTTTTTCCAAACCATACTGATTCACATGCCATCGTTTGAGTCGCATGGGGGAAGAAAACACCTCAAAAACATCAAACACAGGGTCTTTTTTTCTGCCAAATTAACAACACATGACAAAAAGAAATGAGGGAGCACTGAATTTACAATATTAATCTGAATGGAAACAACCTGTATGGTTTTGACTGTTATTTTTCCTTTTTGCACGTCACGCTACTCACGAAAGACCACCAAAACAACCGTATGCTGAAAGAGTGATTCCTGTTGTTGCACCCCGACTCGTACGCAACCCCGGCATTCCTCCATCACACGACACACACAAAAACAAAACGGCTGGGTGATTGAGCAAACGTCACATGGAAGAACAGGCAGCTAATGAATGGTAAAACATTTTTAAAATCAGGTTTTAGGAAACAACAACTAAAAATCCCCAAAGAATTAAAAAAATAACGCAACATCTACGTAACAAGAAATAAAAGCTCCATTATAAAAACGCAGGACAATTTCTAAAACCAGCTCATTTGCACGAGTCTTCTGTGTCGACGCTTTATATGTTGTGATTGTGCTTTGAAGATGAGTTCAACTTGGTGCAGGGCGAAGGAACGTGTTGCGAGGGGTAGATGTGAGGACAGAAACTATGGAAACAGTCAGAGAGCCCATGAATGCCGAATAAGAATCTATATTTATGTATGCATGGTCATTTAGGTGTCCAGCTAACATTAAGCGTGGCCGTTCTTGATTCCTCTTTAGAAATAAAACCCTAACAGATGAAACTATAATCAGTGATGTATTGGTTCCGTTTCTTATGCTTGCAGGACGTCTACTCTGTGGAACTACACAGCAGAGCTACGCGCCACAAAGCGTTTTCAGCTTCGCAGTTGTGTTAATATGTGACTGAAGGGAAGGAAAAAGGGAGGGCAAAACAAAAAGACCTTAATCCCGGATTTGCTGTTTATATGTGATATACTGAACTGGATTGTTTAAAGGATGCTTCTACATTTGAACCAGGTTATATTGGCTCCATATGCTGCTGATGTTCCTATAACTTGTGCAGCTTTAATGTTAACTGTAAAAAGGCATTTTCTTGGTTTATAGTTTTTTTTATTTACTTTTTATTTTTTTAAAGATACATACTCGCGTATTAAAGCAATGAATAATATACCTCTAATATTCTTTAAATAATTCAATAATCACTCATCTGCTACATCTGAAAATCATGGTTGCGGCCCTGACAGTTTCATTATGAGGGAAATAAAGTATCTTCTGATGATGATTATGACGACGACGATGATGATCCAGGACACTCGCTCTGACCAGCCTCGGACAAAACCTTAAAAGGACCTGTACACAAGAGTCCCTACGATACTGACGTGTGTACACATTTTGGCCCATGGGTATGGGTGGGGGGGGAAGTGCTGCCCGAAAGTGAACTGTACATACAAAGATAATTTTTATTCATTTATTTTTTTTTACACTTAACTGTGTGATGTTACAGTACATAAGTTATTTACAACTGTGCAGTAATGGGTGGCAAAATAAATTATCTAGAAGGCAGCGAGAATACATTGGTTAACGAATATAAAAACTGTACATCATTTACGGAATACAATGTTTTTTTTCGTGTTTTTTTCTTTATTTTTTTCCATTAAACTAACGTTGGCTCTGTAGTGTTTCAAGTCACTTCCTCAGAAAGGGAACAATGAAATGCCCAAGTAAAGAAAGACCAAAAAGAAAACTCCACTAAAACACCGTCTTGTAAGTCTCTGCCTCTTGGTTCGCAACACTGCGTTTCTGTATTTTGTCCTGCGTGTTCTTTTCCTTGGATGGTACAAGCGCAGGCACGGTGGGCCCGACTTCACGGCGGACCACCAGAGGCCGTTTGATTCCGCACGCAGAATCAGGCGCTCCTTTGCCCTGTATCTGAGGGCATCCTGGGTGTCATGCTGTCTGTGGATGCCCTGGTGCTGAAGGCAGACTCTCCCCGAGCCCTGCCACTCTGCCTTTGCTCTGCGGCCGGCTGCCCTGGTCTGGGGCTGCGTGGGGCGCTGTGGTCAGCAGGGAGCCATGCTCTCCTCTGCTGTGGCCATGAGAGATCCTGGTCCTAGCATCTTGCTGTAGGAATGGATGTTCAAGCGTTCCTCTGGCACCCCTTTTTTCGGGTCTCTTATTTCCACGGCCGCACCTCGCGGTGCCCGCAACTCGTTTCTGTTCGGCACTCTCGAGATCACCGTCGTGCCTTCTGTCCCTGATTCTGAAGGACAAAGGTGGAGGAGCCCGTCTCAACCCACCCATCTTGTTGTAATTTAGTTTAAGGGGATCTAAAACGAAGAAAAACACTTTTTCCTCTCCCCGTTTCATTCTCACCCACATCAGCCGGTAGGGGAGCGGGTGGGTGAGGTTCAAAGCAAATCAGTGTTGCTTCTTAAATCCCAAACAAAAGCATACAAACTTGAAGGATGAAAGTGCAAGTTGTGTTTTTTCCCCCGGTAAAAAGATGCTCCCTCTTCTGACGGAAGGGGACGATTTTTAATTTTTTTAACTTTTTCTATATAATATATATATGTATTCTCCTCAAAGAAATCTTCTCTTCAAACCGGCTAGCCCTTACCGAACTTGCTGTCTGTTGTCTCTTTGAAAGATGAGAATTTTAGACCGCACACCCTGCGTCCGTGTGTTCGTGTCACGCAGGCAACAGTACGAAGTCATCGTTGACGTCAACCATTGGCACGTAAAAGGAAGGGACCTCGTTGACGCACAGGGATTTGTGTCCAGCAGGGTCCAGCTCCTGCATCTTGAGTTGCCACTCCATCCTCTGCACTGCATTCAGAGCGGCAGCCTCATGCTGCTGTCGCATCAGCAAACACGTCTGTAGGAAGAGGATGGCAATGTTAAAGGAAATAATACATTTCTGATATTAAATATACAGCTTGGCCAAGTGTAATGATTGCTAGTAAGCCAGTTCCACCAGTTAGCATTACAAAAATAAAGGGTTCTCTGCACAATGCCACAGAACCACAATGCACAGTGCCACAGTGGTTTTTAACCTGTGAGCTGTGGTTCCCGTGTGGGCAGTGTTGGTACTGCTAGGCGTCACATGCCCAAGAGCTGAAGGCAAGCGACTATGCATCTAAACCTCTTAAACTGAGAAATAACTCAGCTTTTGCAACATTTCTCTCTTCAGCCTAACATCCAGCACTCTGTAGTTGCTAAACCTCAGGCATCTTATTCGGTGAGACAGAAAAACAATCTGATTGATTAAATATATGTTTTGTGGTCATTTGTGTGGATTGTGAGTTGCAAAAGCTAGAAAGTTAGAAAAAACACATCTATTTCTCTAAAAAGCTTTCAGTGAATGGTACTTTACAGATTTTTTTATGAAGTGTGTGTGTCTGTGTGTAGAACCTTTCTAAAATTCAAAGAACGTCCAGGAAGGTTTTAGGAGAAACCTTTAAACTGGTATGGAACCTTTACATTAAGAGATGATCCTTCAAACGTGACCAAACAGCCCTTTATGGTAGTTGGGTCAGACTATTCTTTAATTTCTCAAGCTTCTTAAGAGTATTTCAACAAAGATAAACATCAAAAGTACAATGTTAAAAAGGCACAGCACCTTCATGCGGTCATACTTGTCATCCACGTCTTGGATCCAAGAAATAAACTGTCGAGCGTTGAACCGATCTCTCACAGACTTATTTTCATCCCCCTGTTTAAAAATGCAGGAAATATAAACAAATGAGATACAGAACATTCAAATATACATGTAACGGTATCAGTGAAATCCGAATCTGGGTCACAACACAAGCAGAGATATTTCACCTGGCTTTCCGATGGCATATTGTAGACCTCGGAATCCAGCAACATGGTGCAAGCACTGAACGGGACAGCCTGATTAGCAATGGTTCTAGCTGCTCTGCAATGAACTCGCAGTACCTCTTGCTCACAAGACACAATCAGCTTTTCCTGCAGAAGAGCAAGATACAAAACTTAGAAAAGAAAAAGGTCAGTCTGGACTCCCAATGATCTGAAAACTGACAACCCTTGAGCAAACTTTTGATTAAGGCACAAGAGGTGGTACAATCTTTCAAAATCATCAAGGTTCACAAAAGTCACAGGAGCAACTTCAGAAGAGTTCAAGATGAAATGGGGATTCTGATTATACTATAATATGCTTCTTTTAGTTAGAGAAATGCATATTGCAGATACAGGGCTTTTCTATTACACAGAGGCTTTGATCATTCATCAAAAGGTTTTGTGCTGAGCGATCAAAGCACTAATTCTAACTGGATGACTTCTAAAGTAAGTTGAGGGATGCGGGGAAGGAAAGAAGCGCTGTGTGGGTGCTTGGAGTTTGTGAGCTTACTCGTTCAATGCTGTGCTGCAGTCGCAACTTCCCTCTCACTGCCTCCTGCTGTCTGAAGAGCTCCTTCAAGGGTTCTGACAAAGATGGAGGTGGAGCAATCTGGGGGGAGAGGTGGTAAAAATTCTTGGTATGCAAGAAATATAAATTCTGAAGCATTGTTATGAAGTTTTATGAACAACAAAAGTAGTATTATGTTAAAATTCAATTACTAAGGCGAAAAACCAAAAGAAGATCTGCATAAAAATGCAGTTAAAAATGCAAAGAATGTCAAAATTCTTCTTACCACTGGAATATGCAGTTTGCTCAGAGGTTTGCCATCAAGCAGGTAGGAGCCGGTGTACGTCACATACTCCGCATAGCACTGGGGAGCTTGCGGTGTTATGTAACAAAGAATCTTCCGCTTCTCTTCAATCTTTTTCCGAATCTGCAGGTACTCGAAATAAGGGTTGGAGCGGTCACTGTGGTAGGGCTCGATTTCATCCAGCTTGATGGCATTTACTATGACCGCCAGAGTCTGCTGAATCATCTCCCGTGTTTGCTGCATCGCTGTGTTGACGAGTTGGACCTGCACTTGCTGCGGACCTGACTTCTGAAACTTCCGTTTGCGTGGATGTTGCGCCTGGCCGTCCTCTTCCTCGACGTTTCGTCCTTTACTTTTGGTGACGAGAGCAGGTGTTGCTGGGGTGGAAGTCTGGGTGTTGAAGGACTCTCTCTCTTTCTCCTTCTCTCCAGGGGTAAGGGAGGAAAGAGAGCTGTTGGTGACACTCGTGGTGACAGGAGAGGAAGCGGCCGATGATGTGACACTTGCAGGGCTCGCTGCAGTGCTCTGCTTGCTCTGATTGGCCAGCATCTGAGCTCTATTCCGAGTTATCCTTTGAGGTATCTCCTCAACCTTCTTGGGGGCCTCAGACATTGCTGTGGCTACTGGCATTTTGGCTGTTGTCTCCAGTGCCTCTGACATTTGGGTGGTGCTAGACGACGTGACAACCAAGACTGGAGCAGCAGGGCGGGGACTGCAGGCGCGACCCAAAGCTACTACTGGGGTCGGTACAATCTGATCTGCTTTCAAAGGTGCCAGCGGTTCCAAACACTGCGCTACCGAAACTGGCGTCAGAATTTCAGGGGCTGTATCTTTCTGTCTGTATTCCTGTTCATTCTCTCCATCAGTAGCTGAATACACGTTACCGTCACCCTCATCCCTCTCGCTGAATGTGCACACGTCTTCTTGGCTCTGTTCTTTCATAGAGGGAACATCTTGAATGTTCTGAGGCTCTGGTTCGGGCTCTAGCTCATGCTGTGGTCTGTAGCTCTCCTCATGGGCAGGAGGCACCAAATCCTGAGAAGGCTCAGAAGGAGGAATAATTGCAGGAGAACACGGGGCTTTGGTCAAACTGGGCAAGCCAATGTCCATTACCCCAAGTTCCTTGTTTGTTTCCATAGCCATTGGTCTTATTTGTGGAGGTGGATGCTTGCTCTCTGGCATCTCTGGGGCTGTGATTTCAGGCTCCTGCACCTCTTTCTCTTGGAATTGAAGGTCTGGCAAAGAGAAGGAACCTAGGTCATCTAGTTCATCAACGGCAGCAGAGAATGGGTCTGGCCAGTGAGACTCTCGGCTTACTGATGGGGCAATGTTGCTCTCAGGCGTGTAACTGATGGGTTCTTCTCTATTCTCTTGTGGCATGCAAGGTGGTTCTACATCCATTTGATTCTCCTCAACATGGGGTTTAATATCCGTAAAAAAGGTCTCGAGTCGAGTTGAGGACGGTGGGATGAAGTTTACTTCTGAGTCCACAGGCTCTGTTACAGGTCTTGGTGGTGACGAAATATCCTCTACACCGTCTTTCTGCATCTCATAATGTGTCTCTGATATTTGTGAGGGACAGTACGACCTGGAATATGTGGGATAAGGAGGCGTCACGGAAGGATGGACAGATAATGCTGTAGGGATATGTTGCAGCTCACAGTCAGAGTGTGAATATGGACTGCTGATCTTTGAAACAGCAGCTTCAACTTCTCCATAACTTTCATGAGGTGATTTCATAAGCCCTGCTGAATTCCACTCTTCCGACTGATCGCAAGAGTTTTCCATGAGGTTATCCTGAGGATTAATGGGCGTCAAGGGAAGAACTTCAGGCTCTCTGCGGTCTGGAGATTCAACCCAAGTCTTTCTGGCAGACTCTTCAATTCCAAGTGAATAAGTGGGATCATCTACAGACTGCATGGCCTGATCTGACACAATATGAGATTCAGATGCTTCTTCTGCATTATCCTCCTCTTCATCATCTTCCTCCTCATCCTCATTCTCATCATCATCTTCCTCCTCCTCATCCTCTACAAGAGGCGGTAGATATTCACTGCCGCTCACTGGATCAGATGGCAATAAACTGGGCTCACTCTGATGTGGTTCAGACAAGTCATCAATGTCCATGGGAGGCAGAGCTGCAGGGGCTGGTGTTGGAGGGGCAGCTATGTCCAGACATGGCTCTTGAGGGTCAGGTCTGTGGACTGGAGTTGAAGGCTTCATCAGGTAGTTGTTAAACATGCTCTCTGGAGGGAGTTCACTGGCATCATTACCAGCATTTGGAGCAGAAGCTCTCTCTGTCACAGGCTGCGATGAGTCAGGCCTTGGAGACAGCACACCAATGTGAGGGGAGAAGTATGGGGATGAGACGCAGTCAAGTCTGTCCATTGGAATTTTGTCATCAGGAAGATGCGAGGCAGAGGACTCAAATTCAGCTGACGGTGCACTTTGTTGCCTCAGAAACTTGTCAGCTTCTGCTTTGAACTCCTCTTCAAGAGGTCTTCTAACCTCAGAGGTGACTGATCGACTCACAAGAGGTAACTGCATATTCTTTGCTGGCGTGATACATGTTCCTTCCTGGAAACTATGGGATGAGTTCTGGGAGGAGTATCTATCGAAGAATGATGGGGAGCAGGCATTCATGGACATTGTCATTGCTGAAGAGTTCTGACAGTCTAGTCCATCAAACATGATATCCGGGTAGTCCTCCGCACTGCAGGATGGTGTACGGGGAGTTTGCATCACTTCCTCAAAGCTTGGACATGAAATGACTGATGTAGGAGTGGGAACCCCCGTTGGCCTATTCTGGTCAGGTCGTGGAGATGCAGGGAGATTTTCCTTCATCTGGTGGCCTGCTAGCCAGTCTTTTGAGGTCTGGCTGTCTATAGGCTGCGACTTCCTATCAGGAGACATCATCTGGGCAGGAAGGCTAACGTCTTTGAGTTTCTTTTCTTTAAGAGCAGATTCTAACGAGCTTGACTTCTTAGACGAAAGTTCGCCACGGCTCTTTTTCAGATCCTCACTGGACTTGGTCTTGTCTTTAAGCTTTGGATCGCCTGATCTATGCCTCAGTTTCTCCATCTGTTTCATCCTCTCTTTGTGCCTCTTATGGCGTTCTTCAATTTCCTGGTCTTTTTGACTAAGCATTTTACCAAAGCTTGTTAGTCTGAGATCACCATCAACCAAAAGCTCACGTGGTCGAGAGTCTTTCCTTGCCGTGTCTTTTGACTGGCTGAGCTTGTCATTCTCATCTTTGGCCTTGGCCTTGTTATAATCTGACCTGTCTTTATCTGTGATATCTCTATTTCGGTCCTTATTCTTGCCATCAAATTTTAGACCATCTTCTTTAGACTTGTCCTTTAAACTTGTGACTTGAGGGCTTTCTTTAAGTCCAGTTTTCTGATCTTCTTTGGAGTGTCTGAAAGACCCGAAGCCATCCGAGTATTTATGTTTCTCCTCCTTTACTTTTTCCTTATGTTTCTCTTTCTTCTTCTTCTCTTTGATCTTTTCACTGCTAATGACGCTATTCATCTTGTCCTTTTTGGACATCTCCTTCTCAAACTCCAGAGTTTTATCCAAGTCATCCTCTCCATCAGCCTTAGAACCATAAGGAAAAGTGTAAGGGTCAGCTTCCAGGGGCATAGGCTCTTTCTCAAAAGGTAAGCTCTCCCTGCGACCAAAGGACTCTCTGAGCTCCTCTGATTTGTCCCTCTTGTCTGCTCTCTCTTTCTTGACCTTGTCCTTATCTTTATCGTGACTCTTTTTGGACGATGAGGAAGAGGAGTGTCTATGCCTCTCTTTTTCTCTGAACTTGTCCTGTGGATTGGAAATGGACAGTGACTCTCTTCTGTCCTCCGTCATGTCATTAGATGAGTCGTAGAAGTTTAAAACTGGCTCATGACCCCTGTCTGTGAAGCTGTCTGATGAGATCTCACTGTTTTTATCATTGGAGTCATCTTTGTAATCGTTCATGGCCTCCTCCTCCAGTTTCTCAAGCAGTGATTTCTCGTTTTCACCACTGCCCTTTGAGGGTTTTCTGTCTTTCAAATGGTCTGGCTTATCTTTGTATTTGCTTTTCTTCTCCTCTGTGGTCTCTCTCTTGTCTGTAGGCTTCTGCTTGTTTTTCTTGTCCTGATTTGAGTCCACAGACGCCCTGTCCTTGCGGTCCTTGTGTTTTGCATCAGTTGATTCCTTGTCTTTCTTGTCTTTGTGTTTATCCATGGAACCTTTTCTCTCTTTTACGGCATCAAAGGTAGTCTTTTCTTTCTTTTTATCTTTATGCTCTTTATCTTTTTGTTTTTCTGTGGAGTGTTGTTTCCCCTCTCCAGAGTACTTCCTGTGTTTATCTGTTAAGATATGATCTAGATCGTCTCTGTCGGGCGTGGAATCTTTTCGGTGGGAGTCCAATAGTCCAAACGAATCGCTCAGTTTTGCCACCCCTCCATTGTAACTGTCGCTTTCATCTTCACTCTCATCTGTGAAAATATCCTCAATTTTATACCATGTCTTCTCCCTCACCTTTTCTGGCTTCTTCTCCTCCTTCTTGAATTCGAGGTAATCCTTTTCCCTTTCTGAATGTTTGTCTTGGGATATTTTTTCTTTCTTGTCTTTACTCTGCTCAGATGACATCTTCCTCTCCTTATCCTTACTGTGCGAATCCTTATGTTTATCTTTAGTGCCATCCTTTTTGTCTTTGGAGCTTCTTTCAATGTCTTTTTCTTTCAAAGACCTATCAACTGAGTTTTTCTCAGGTTTGTCCTTATCTTGCTCCAAACTTCGGTCTTTAGGCTTGTCTTTGTGCTTTTCGCCTTTTAGTTTGTCTTTCTTTTCGACACCATCTCCTTTCTTCTCTTTTTCTTTTCCAGAGTGGTTTCTCTCCCTGGCATCTGACTTAGCGTTAGCTTCGCTTTCTGATTTGTCTTTGAATAAAGCCTCACTCCCATACTCGTCTCTCAGGCATTCTTGTTTTGTTTTGGAGTCTTTCCTCTCCTTGGTGAACTCATAGGAATCTTTTCTGTCTCTGCTGCCGTCAACAGACTCCTTTTCTTTTTTCTCTTTAACACCCCCTTCTGTTGATTCCTTTCGCTTCTTCTCCTTTTCCGAGTGATTGGAGTTCAGCTTTTGCTTGTCTGTCCAGTCTTTTTTCTTTTCACTGCCCTTATCGGAGGACTCCTTCTCTTTCTTCTTGGAAGTAGCTTCTTTCTCAGAGCGCTTGTCTCCATGCTCCGACTTCTTGTCTTTGAGTTTGTTTTCCTTTCTCCGATCCCTGCTTTCTTCTTTCATTGTTTCCACGATGAGTTTTACAGAATTATTTGCTTTGTATTCTTTCATGGGAGCATCCCAACTGTCATCGCCATAGAGGGAGCTGTCAGACGAAAGGTCTGATGGCCAGCGATCATGATCATCTGATGCGCTCATCTTTGTGTCCTCTAAAAAATGATTTTTAATGTCATATTCCTCATAATCTGGCTCTTCCTTAATGGTCTTATCTTTCTTTGACTTTTCCTCTTTGCCAGTTTTGTCCTTTTCTGATTTAAAATGTTTCTCCTCTTTTTGTTCACTCTTTTTGTCTGTTTTCAGAGACTTATCCTTGGACTTTTTCTTTTTATCCTCCTTGTGGGATTTCTGTTGCTCCTCCTTTGGCTTTTCTTTGTCCTTCATGCCTTTCTCCTTTTCAGTTTTCAGAGGTTTGTCTTTCTCCTCCTTGCTCGCCCTCTCCTTGTTGGACTCCTTTGTTTTCTTGGATTTCTCTTCCTTAGATACTCTCTGAACCTCTTTCGCTGACCAGTCTTTGTCTTCGCTTTTACCTTTCGATAATCTGTCCTCTTTCTTAAAATGATCTTTGTCGTGCTTGGAAAGTTTGACTTTACTTTCAGAGGGCGACTCCGTCTCCACAATGAGGGACTTTTGCCGAGAGTCATCAAAGTCGAATGTGAAGCTCTTGACGAATTTTTCATTCATGTCTTGATTCAACACAACACTCGGAACCTTTTCCTTCTCCTTGTTTTTGTGTTTGTGTTTCACTTTGTGTTTTTTCAATACTTTTCCGTCTTTGTCTGTTTTCGAGACCGTTCCATCTGCATTTGAGTTCTTGTAAAAGTCTGAGCTCTTTTTGTCTAACACGCTGACATGTGTATTGTTTTTCTTCTTGTTGTCCTGCGCTTTTTTCTTCACCTGCTTTACAGACTCAACACTGGAGTCCGCGGAGGAATAGTCAGACTCGCTGGAAAGCCTTGTTCGGACAGAGTCTGAGAGGGAGCTGACGTCAGACCAAGGTGGGGAAGACACTGTCTTCCAACCATCTGTCCTCCACTGCTTTGGGTGCTGTTCTGCCAAAGACTGTGTGAGCTTCTGTGAGCCCAAACTCCCATGTGAGGAGGATGAAGAGGATGCGGACAGAGAGCTGAATACAGAGGATTCTTTAAGGTTCAAAGTAGAAGAGTCCTTCACGCAGTTCGAGCTCTTGTCATCCTCACTCTCCATGTCGCCCGTCTCGGAGTCTGAGGTGCAGAATTTGTCATTGACTTTGCCGAAGCGCACCTCCTTACTGACGTTGTTTTTTGTCTCCTTCTTCCTCTTCTTCTTGACTTTGCTTTTATCTTTCTGCTGCTTAGAGCTCAGTGTTGCAGAGTCCCTGCTCTTGTTGGTCTGAGCAGCAGGCTGCCTTGGCGTGGGTGTGGGCGTGAAACATAACGTCCGGTCATCCTCATCTGAGCTGTTGCTGTCCGACAGGATCCGACGCACAGGCTTCTTTGGTGTGAGCGAGTTGCTTTTGGAATAAGTTTTAACCTCCATCTTAGGTATAGAGATGAAGTTGTTGGCCTTGCTGACGGTATCCTTGCGGAACTCTTTTTTCAGCAGATGCTTGTCGTCCACGGGCGGCACACGCTCCTCCTCGTCATCCTCGTCAAACTCGTATTCGTCCTTGACGGGTGTGGTGGTGGATTTGGGCGGGTCAAGTGCCTTCCCTTTCAGCTTTAGGCCTTTCTCGAACTCAGAGTCTGTGTTATTGCCATCGACGGAGCTGGACGGGGCAAACGATGGGGCGTCTTCCTCCTCTGACGACTCTGCAGGGATAAAAACACAGACGTCATAAGAAACTGTAAAAGACAGAGATGACAATGCGATAAGAATGAGAAGTAGTTCATGCTCTTAATTTTAAAACAAATAATATGATACACACCTGACGAACTCTCACTAGAAGTGTAAGTGCCTTTTCCTAGCAACAGATTGAGCATGGTTGGAGAGTTTGCCACCTTCAGAGGTGTCTCCCCTCTTCTGTTGCTTTGACAAGGATCCCCTCCATATCGCAAGAGCAACTTTACCACCTGCAACACATACGAACAATTATAATAAAAGATTTTTAACTCATACATATAGAACAGAATCCTAATACCTGATAACCAAAATAATAACATTCTTCATTTAAGGAACAAACCTCAAGTCAAAGTTTATTTATATAGCGCTTTTTACAACACGTGTTGCCATAAAGCAGCTTTACAGAAAAATCCAGGTCTGAGCCCCCATGTGTGTCGCCAATGGCGACAGTGGCAAGGAAAAACTCCCTAAGAGCAAGAGGAAGAAACCTTGAGAGGAACCAAGACTCAAAAGGGGAACCCATCCTCCTCTGGTTGACATCGGACAGCAAACAGCATCAGTATAAAATATTTACATTTATACTGGTGAAGCAGTCGTGATTGTGTGTTTATAAACTCACTCAATGTACGCCTGGTGGAAATCTGCCAAGGTGGAATGTCTAAAGCCACTAATGGCTGTGTCTGACTGTCACACTTCTTTGTGTGAGCAGAGCCTCCTTTACCACATTTGTTTATTGGCGTGGCAGTGCGCACTCTGTTTACAACACACAGTATCAGCAGCTATTTGAATGTTTGTATCGCTGCATTTTTATGAGTACGAATATAAACAAATGAGCACGGTATCAGACTGAGACCCAAGATCCCAATATATCGGTATCGATGCATCCCTACTTTACAATTTTCACCTGTGCAGTCATTTACACACTACACATTTTAGCATTTAACCCCCTTAAACTGCAAGGGCCTGTACGCGAGCCCATATTTCAAGTCTTCAAATTATTTAACTTGCATGTTACTTTTACAGTAGTGGTCAAAAATTTGAAAGTAGATGCTGAATAATAAATCTCCAGAGTAATGATAATACAGCTAAAGTTTAAGTGATTAAGCAGTACATATTTATGTGTCATATCTACTTGCATTCAGGTGCTCACACAAACCTGTTAAAATGAAAACTTTAAACCACTTTAAAGACTAGAAGTTCCTTCTTCTGAGGTATCTTGAATGTGGGAGGAACTTTAGGAAATACAACAACTTTTTTCGAGATTGGGCTGTTTGGGGTTTTTCTTCGTTAACTAGTCAACACAGAACTAAGGCACATAGCTAACATTACTGCTAAGGAGCTGAAAATCTTACTGCATCAATTTTAGGGCTGAAAGATTAATTTTTTTATATCAAAATCGGAATTTCAGAGAGAGCAATTTTCAAATCGCAAGAGCTGCAATTTTTTTAAAATTATAGAGCACATTATCAAAAACTTTGTCTGAAGTTTTAAGAGGGGAAATTTACCCTAATAGCACAGAATTGTGTGGAGAGTTAGACCACTCAGAGGCAACCAAACCTCCAAGTGTTGTGACATTACACCACAACTTACTGGCTTTCTGGCACAGTACATTAAGGGGCTAAGCCTCGAGCCTCGATCTTCTTGGTAAAAAAAACAAAAAACAGGTCTGAACTTTAATTATTATTAATAATCACAATTTAAATCACACTCGCAATATTAGTGAGAAACATTAGAAATTCGCAATTAAAATTTTTCTCCAAATCGTTCAGCCCTAATCCATGTAACTGTGGTAACTACCCTCAACGAATTTTAGTTCTATCAAGATCCAGTTTGAGGCTGTAAAGCCACTTTGTGACACAGAAAGGACTGGAAATTGCAGGTTTACTGTACCATCTCAGTTGAGTGCTTACTTTGAAGTGGCCATTGTTTGACGCATCATGTAGAGGAGTATCATCATCCAGGCCCTTGGTGTTGACCTCGGCCCCTGCTGCCAGCAGCTGCTTAGCCACATCATAATACCCTCTGTTGCATGCTTCGTGCAGTGCGGTCCAGCCTGGACAACGACATCCGATTTTTAGCAATTTGTTCATTATTTATAAAGTCAACAGTTTCAGCAGCTTCATAACACTCGGAAATGACCAATATTAAGCAACACTGACCAACCTTGCACATGCAGAAATGACCAACATTACACAAAAGAAAGGCTTTTCAGGAAAAAAGCGTAAAGAGTAAAACCAAAACAGTCTCATGTTCAGAATCACGTTTCAGAAGTTTGGAATAAGTGTGGTACATATAGTAGTGCTGAGCAACTTCATAGGTTTCAAATAATTAGTAGGACACTAGGAAAATGAGTCCATTATGATGGAAAAAAGAACTGTACAATACTCTCAAATGACATAACATCAAGAATTAATACATAATAAACTTAATATCGAGAATTCTAGGTGGAGATCAAACTCAAGGAAGACACCTTGTAAACTGTTACTGTAAATAATTCCTAAAAGTGTATTTTGTTCACTTCTTGTTCACTGAGTATTTGAAATTCTGAATAGAAATACCTTCTGGAGAACAGACTAATATTTAAATCTACACTTTATAAGCTACTACTATATATAAAATGACAAAAAATATTAATATAGCAAGTGATTCTACACTTATAAATACTAGTACAAACACCACCATTCCAGTCTTTAATACGGAGCCTGTAGGCGACATGTTGATAGCGCAACAATGACACTGTATGACAAATAACATCGGTGACAACAGGAGCTGAAAGTCATCCTTACCTGCAAAGTCTTTTACATTCACGTCAGCTCCCTCACTGATGAGCTCCTTAATGCGGCGTACCTCCCCGCGGATGGCTGCCCGATGCAGCCTCGTCTCACCTCTCTCATTGCGCTTATTCACTTTGTCTTTGGTTTTTGAGGCAGAGTTTGGCGTTCCCTTCTGACCCAGATTCGACTGTGACTGGTGCTTTGGTGTTGTGTCTGCAAAGAAATTCACACAGAGCAAAACCCGTGAAGCAGACCACAACCAGCTACACTGTGCACATACCATGACGGGGGAAAAAGAAAACAAATATAGGCTGAAAATAATAACCACTGACTGCCTCTAGATGGCGGTCTTGTATGACAAACACATAGCAGAGGAGGAACGAGGGACCTCATTGCCTGGACTCATTTCATCTCTTACTAGATTAAAATAAATCCTTAATCACATTTTCCTTATTGAGTTTGCGCGGCTTTGTCCAGAACGTTATTTAACACTCACTTAATCTGTGTTCAGTCCACTAGGTGTGAATGGGGAAAATTGCTTGCACATAAATAGATGAAGCAGGAAGTCAAAAAGCGGAGCCGAAGCAATCCGAAGGCAGAGCTTTCACTGTTGCACATATTGCTTTTTTTCCCTTTTTCTCCTCTTTGTCAGAATAAAGAAATACCTTCGTGCATTATAATAAATTGAAATACTCTGGGCGAGGACTTGTCCCTCTTTCGTTATCTTTGTTTTTGTTTTGGAAAAATGGAATCGGTACAAGCACTACAGGAGGAAGAGCTAAATCTCAGTAATCTAATAGAGGCATGCATACTTGAGATAAGAAAATCAACAAAAAACCCTTCCAACTCCGTGGTTTGGCTCAGAGTACGGATAAACATTTGAAGCTAACGCAACCCTATCCATGGCAAAAACGCTTCATTTTCCCTAACGCTTTGAAATCAGACAGCAATATCAGACCGGCCAATTAAACAAATCGCGTTCGTGTTAGTACAGCTAAACAAACGCTTCCATTGTTCTTCTGTCATCGATGATGGGAGAGGCTCAGGAACAGAAGTGGATTAAGATTGTGGAGGTCTGTTTTGCTGAAGTAATGGGAATTGATGAGGGTTATCTTGTTAAATTGAATTCTAATTAAGTGCTGTAGTGTGTGTTTTAATGAAGCATAGCATGAGAGGGAGAGCGCAGCAGGGACAGTGAGAGCTGTGGGGGCTGCAGCGCTCGTGGACGGACGTGGCGCCCATGACAAACACGCACCTGGACTGTTTACTGACTCCTCTGCCGTCATCTGCATAAGAAGAGCCACCTGCTGCCGCTCTGACAGCGGGTAACCAGCCCGGATCCCTGGCATGCCCATCCCGAATGGCAGGCTTGGCTTCCTGGAGTTGGTAGGCTCCTTTTTATTACGCTTCCGCTCCGGACCTTGCTTTTCTGTGAAGGGGAGGAGAAAAGACAAGGGTGCGTTAGACCCAGAAACTGTCTAAATGACAACCTTATGAGCAAGAAATGGGAGCAATCTAATTAGAGTTCCTCAATATTTTTGTGTTTTTAAACAAGCCATCACAGAGTTCACGGTTTTTCCCTCTGGGGAATCCCAGACATCATCTTAAGGGCTGTTCTTATACTATATTAGTACAAGTGAAGTCTATTAGCCCTTGGACAGGTGAGGAATTGTGTTACCTTTGGCAGAACAACAAGAAACCACTGCAAATGGATGCACGCTTCCTTTTCAAATCCAAAGGCGTAGCTTTAAAACGCTTTAAAATGATTCAACTATCAAAACCATAATATTCAATTTGCTATGGGGTCAAACAGGGGTTTAGATAGCAAACTACTCCAGCTGTTCAAAACAACTGCTGATACATCTTCACTGCTCTGCTAATATGCAGGATAGCAATCAAAAGGCTACACAGCTAGCAACAACAACAAAGGCAATACATCATAGTTCTAGAGCAAAGCTTATAGCCAGACAAAGCAGATATTTATAAAATGCATGTATGTTTTGTTCCAACTTCTCAGAAACGTGTCGCATTACTAAATTTGCACGGCTAACTAATTAGCTCACTGTGGCTAACCAAGCCAAAAATATGATACACAATATTAAAACAGGGCCCAATGATGGAGAAAGCTGAGGTTAGCTGAGTACAAAAACAGTTCAAAAGTATTTCTCTTGTATTTCAAACTATCACATCGTCTACTGAGGAGAAAAAACTTTTGTATCCTTCAAATTTTCTTTACATTTACTTTTGTGCACTCGGCAGAAGCTCTTACACCGGAACAACTTAAAATTTAACCATGTTCAAGATGTATAAAGTTAGAAGACTTGGTCAAGGACTTGTTGGTGTAGCAACGGTAGGGAATCGAACCCCAGTCTACCATGTGGAGGGCAGCAGTATTACTCACTTTACAACAGTTGTACTAACAGCAACCTCTGAAGTTGTACTGGTTAGTGTTCACTCATTAGCTCATCTGAAGAGGCAGCCTTCATTACTCAACCAGCATGAAAACATACCAAGGTCCCTCAGCTATTTTTGATGAATAAAATATGTAATAAAATGTTTTCAGTGAAATCACCTAAAAAAGTAATCTTAAAGCCCAACACTAATTTATATTTGTTGCTGCTTTTTCCTTCCCCATGGTTAACCCGATGTCCACTCATTAACTCTTACGGATACTCCAAGTTAGTCAGCACTGCACATCCTTAGTTTTAATCGAAACTGCCTAACCTAAGTGTGAACACATCCTAAAGTGGGCGACCTTCATATTCTTCCAAGGGAACTCTAACTGGTGCAGGTCGGGTGATGTGGCCCATGTGTCTTTGCTTTCTGAAAGTGAAGTGAAACCCTGCACTCTCAGGTGAATTCCCCTCTCCCTTCCTCCCCCACAGTCTGAGAGCCTGCAGCAGCCATACAGCAGATTACCCAGCATTCCCCTGGGGAGGGAGGAGCACTCTGCTGCCAGTATGGATGGGGGTGGGGCCGCGGGGGGGGTTGTGGGAGTACAAATGTGTGCGTGGGTGTGTGTTTCTTTAAGGGTGTGACTTGGCAACCCGACAGCGATTACAAAATGGCTGGTGTTCGTTTCAGCGTGGCTAAGGCAAGGTCACCACGCAGCCGAGGAGCTGGACAAAAGCAGCTGCTCTTCAAAGACACGCCCGTCAATTATTTTCAGCGTCTGGGTGTTAACATATCTCCCCCACAATGCACTGAGACGGTCCATTATGCTGCTCTCAACCACGCTATCAGCTTACAGTGGCAAACAACAGGGAGACATCCTCCGACCCCAAGCCTCAGACTCACCGACATCGGCCCTAACGGCACACGCACCAGCACGTGCGCGCGCCATCGAGTCACGTCTGTGCTGCCAATAAAAACACTGAACGACAATGGACCCCGTCGTCTACATTTCAGCTCGCGTTTAATCTACGGAAGATCTACAAGCCTGCGTGCCGTTGCTCTTTAGACAGCGATTTGCTCGAGGACACAAACATAATTTATATGGAAAGGAAACAAAGCAGCGGAGAAGCTTCCGGTCGCACAGCTCTTTCCAGGGATTACTTTCCACAGTCGGGTCTGATGAACTTTCTCCAACATCTGCAAACAATTACGCTTAATGTACCCCCACCCATACGGATTCTCACATACACACGCACATCTGCCGTTTAGACACATTCCTTCGATTCAGACTCAACCTGCATGCGCTGCAGAAGCAGTCTAAACATGTTTCCAGGCAGAGGGAGAAAAAGGACCTAAATACTGCAGAGCTACAGCAGCCTTCAAACCAAGCAAGGCCTTTATCAGAAAATGACAGCGGTGAAGTTTTAAAGAGGACTGCAGACCTTATGCAACTGCTCAGATGACTGAAACCTGCTACTTAGTACAATAACGCTTTGGCCTAATGCTGCAAAGTAATGGCACAAATGTACCAGTCAAATCAAATAAGCACTAACAGACAAAAACACTAATGGTCTGATATAGTTAAGGAAGCCTAGGTACTTTGCCATCATTAGTCTGGTGGAAAGCATTGAGAGACGGCTCATGTGTTGGGCTGGACACCTTGTGATCCAAGGCCAAACTGCAGGGTTAAAGTAGTCTCAGTAAAGTAGACCTGGCGACTCCAACTATGAGTTTATCAGAAATATACAGATTTGGAATTTTACGATGCAGCGTTTCCCCATCGTTAAATTTAAGCTTATCTGCCGTCTGGCTTGGATGAGACGCAGACATTAAGATGGAAATGGCTGCCTGATGTTTTCTTACTTCCATATTTTTTCACGTGGTAAGTGCAAACTGTAATATTAGTCTGGGGTGGTTTAAATAAAGTATGGTGTTGCACCTCTGAACAGGTGATGATGGATGTGAAACTAAGGCATGTTTTATATTTATTTTTTCATCCACACACAAAACAACTGAGAGTGTTCTCTAAGGCCTAATAATCAAGAGCAGATCTATGTCCAAGCAGTAGTTTTGGTTCGAGCAACTATTAACACTATTCTTATACATTTCTTTAGAAATATTTGCAAATTACTCTTTGGCCCAGTATGAACTGTAAACCTGCTATAATGGTGGGTTCACACTTTCTGTGAACTTGTGCAGTTATTTAGAAACAGTTTTTTTAATGAGAAAGGCGCTGTTTTTGCACACAGGGCACTTCGCATTTTATGCGGCAAGCGCAGCCGTAAACCGAGAGGAGGTACAATGCTCAAGAACTTCCGTCCTGCTCGACATGCACAATATAGCAAAGCAGAAGCAGAGAGGACCGCTCCCGCTAGCATGCTAAACAGCATCTGCAGCCTCAGATTTTGAAATGATGAGGAAAAAAAAGTTGAACACAAGCGCAAAAGTGCAAAGTATAACGAAACAGGCGATCAAATTCATTAATTTGAATAAGAAATCGTTCTCTGCTGTCGAGAATGTGTCATGGCATCTACACAGTAATAATTTCAGTGTATTTTATGGAAACTGTTCCTTGATGGGTCGGTTCAATCCTATTAACATCAGATTTCATCAATAATAAAAATATTTTCTTTATTACCTTGTACTTTTTAGTGTTAGTAAATTCTAAAAACAAAACAACAAACTTGCTTTCAGCTTTCGGTTTCAGTTTTCGGTCAGGTGTGTCTCGATTTTCGGTTTCGGGCAGGAATTTCCATTTTGAAGCATCACTAGATCAAAAGGTAAGGCGGGCTTTCAGTGACGGTTGTAATGGAAGACATTAGTGGTCGCAGTCCTTCACTGTTTGAACGCAAACAAAACGCAGCACCACGTTTGACAGTCACTAGCAGTAGTTAAACTTTGCCTGTATATATCGAAACGATGGCTTTCTACCACAGCGGACTTCCAGTTACGAGGCCATTGTTGCTTAGCAACAAGGAGAAACGCAGCCCAAGGTAGTCTTCTAAAATCGCAGTAATGTAAACTGTCCAATACACAGAGCAGTTTGGTCCACCGAGAGAAAAACCCAGTGTGAACCCCCACCATAGACATTGTAGGTTACTATCCATGATGTCAGACATTAGACTTGGTTACACCATGTACCAGCCAAATCAAATAAGCACTAACAGACAAAAACACTAATGGTCTGATATAGTTAAGGAAGCCTAGGTACTTTGCCATCGTTAGTCTGGTGGAAAGCATTGAGAGATGGCTCATGTGTTGGGCTGGACACCTTGTGATCCAAGGCCAAACTGCAGGGTTAAAGTAGTCTCAGTAAAGTAGACCTGGTGACCCCAACTATACGAGTTTATCAGTAATATTTTGATTTGGAATTGTACTATGCAGTGTTTCCCCTATAAACACATCTGCCGTCTGGCTTGGATGAGATGCAGACATTAGGACAGAAATAGCTGCCTGATGTTTTCTTTCTTGCATATTTTTTCACATGGTAAACGCAAACTGTAATATTAGTCTGGGGTGGTTTAAACGTAGTGTTGCAATGCTGAACTGGTGATGATGAAAGATGCGAAACTAAGGCATGTTTTATGCTTTTTATCCACACCTAGAACAACCGAGAGCGTTCTTCAAGGCCTAATAATCAAGTGCAGATCTATGTCCAAGCAGTAGTTTTGGTTTAAGCAACTATTAACACTATTCTTATACATTTCTTTAGAAATATATGCAAACAACTCATCGTCCAGTATGAACCGCAAACTGTTCAGTCACATGAATTCTTCTTATCCAACCTGACTGACCACAAATTAACTCCCAGTCATTCACAGTCGTATTTCTTGATATAAATGTGCAGAGGATGCAGAACATGGTGTATTCACATGTGTAGTACAGTGACTGTAAACAATACTGTTTGATAATAATATTCTGGCCCTGCAGACGTTTATTTGCAACATATATGTTCAACAATGTCGGTAGGTTCAAACAGTGTTTCCTCTCATCCTAGGAAATCATTTTACAGGACTCATCCAGGACAAACTCCAG